GCTTTTTGGGAATTTAAAACTCTTGACCATTTAATATATAACACCAACTAAATGTTACAAAATTTGAAACCCATGTAATTGTAAAGATTAAAATCCATTAAAAAGGTACGCAAATGCAAAAACATGGGGGAAATTCTTATATTTGAGGTCAGTATAGGTAGTCCTCAACTTACGACCACAGTTGAGCCCAAAATTTCCACTTGTAAGCAAAGCAGTTGTTAAGTGAGTTTTGTCCCATTGTACAACCTTTTGTGCTTTAGTTGTTCAACGAATCTCTACAGTTCTTAAGTGACTCACACAGTCGTTAATTCAGCATCCCTGCCATTGATTTTGCTTGTGAGAAGCTGGCTGGGAAGGTCATGGTGATCACATATCCATGGGACAGTGCAAGTGTCATAAATACATACCAGTTTCCAAGTGCCTGAGTTTTGATCACATAACATCATAAGTGTGAAAACAGTCATAAGTCACTTTTTTCAGTGCCATTGTTACTTCAAATGATTACTAAATGAATGATTGTGAATTGAGGACTACCTGTAACAAAAAGACATCTGAGAAGATCTTGTTTATTCTACACTAGGGCTGTCAAACTTGTGGCCTGCAGGCCGGATGCACCCTAGCCACACCAATGCCCAGTTTAGCTAAGGGGGGGAAGTCACGATATGTCACGTGACGCTGCTGTGACGATGTGTGTTTGACACCCCTGCTCTACACTGTTGGTTCTCCTAAGAGTACATGTACATTATGTAAAAATGTTCATAGACTACATAATAAACAAAATATAGTTCACTTGTCAGAGGTGTAGAAAAATAAAAGAAATGCCAAACTTTTTTGAATTGTAAAATGAATAGGAACATTTTAAAAAAAAGTTATAAACTTAAGAAACCTTAAAAAATGTGATAACTCATTTATTATTTTTTGACCAGCTGGCAGAAAACAACACTGAGTAATTAACACGGGTGGGATGCTACGGGTTCTGCCTGGCTCTATAGAACTGGCAGCTCTGAAGAGCAGCAGACACCAAACCGGTTCTGTGTACGCTGCTGTTTGGCCCACCCGCCCGCCTTGGGTCTATGCAAAACGTAGTCACCGAACCGGTAGTAACACCAGTTGAATCCCACCCCTGGTAATTAACTAGAGTTGGATGGGAGAGACAACCTTATTTGTCTTAGGAAAATTTAGATAGTTGATCCCCAGGAGTAGAAGACTTGCAAAAAACCTAGAACTGATGTAGAATAACTGTATCTCCACAACATAACTGAATAGTATCTCCTCCTAGGTTTGTGCAGATTGGAATTGGATTAATTTATCAATTATCATATTAACATATGAAAGAACAGGTGCTAAAAATAGCATAATAGTCAAAGTGAATAAATAAATGAATGAATGTAATAAACCCACACCCACTTAGGTACAGATAATGTTACCTAGTCAGGTAACGAAACATCTCCAAGCAAACAACCAAGCCCAGAGAACGCCAAGTATTCCACAGTTCAACCCTGATCCACATATATTTTCTTCTATTAAAACTAAATTTCATTTATTTGTTTATTTGTTTGTTTATTTGTTTGTTTGTTTGCTTGCTTTTAATTTCACTACTAGGCAACTCTGGGTGGCTTTTACAATATCATAAAAGCAAAAATACAAAAGATTAAAAAATTAAAAATTAACAGAAATCAGATAAGTTAGGATTCAGAATGCAATGGAGTGGAAGTGGGATCTTCCTAGTGCACTAACCAGCTCTAGTGTGATATCTCCCCATTGGGTCTCCAGGCAAATCAGCAGACCCAGGTTTTGAGGTTTTGTATTACGTGCTTTACCCTAAAATACAGTTGTCTGAACTTGTTGATCTCTCTTTTCTCCTTTTCTGTTTCTTTGTTCCTTTATTATTATTAGAATTTATTAGATTGTAAATTGGGAACAGGACTTATGATATTTTTATCCTCATGTAGACTTAAGAATTTCCTAGTTGTGTACACCTTTTCAGCAAAGTAAGTTAATGGTTTCTCTTAACCAATATTTTTAAATGTAGGCATGATACTGATATTACAGCTTACACTGGCAAATGTATTTAGGATATATATTATAAAAGTATTTCTTCTGTATAGTTTGAATATTGGCATATATGTAATTGATACATAAGCTATCAGATTGTGTATTTGTTTCTGCTGCTACAAAAATTAGGGAAAAATGGGAAAGCTGTGCTTTCACATATTTTATCACACATCTGATTGTTTAGCTTCCTTTCTCCTGCAGCATTGACATACCCTAACAATAACATACTTTAGTTGATGTTTTTATCTCACAAATACACCAACTGTTGGGAGGTTTTTTTTAGTTAACTATATCTCAGAAAATTAATAGATACCATGCAAAGATTATTGGAGCTAGTCTTTTGCAACAAACAATGTTTGAACATTTATTTTAATTTGTACATTTTGCTTTCTCCATTAGCCTCCTATTGGCATCATAAATAGCTCTGGCAATTGCGCAGTTGGCTATATTGTAAAAAGCATAAAATAACTTTTTGAGTTCGACCCTGGGTCTACAGTGGAAAAAATATCTTGGGGAAATTCTGGGAAATAATTTTAAAAACTAACATTCAAACTTTTAAAATTGATATTCTGATTTTGCACCAGGTATGGGAGCCTGAAGTTGTAATCCATGAAATCTGTTGGATTACTCAGTATATACTTAGCAGTTTGTTTGATATGTAAATTATACAGTAAAATCTCTTCTGATTCCCAGGAGGAAGGGAATACATTCCAGAGGAACAAAAGCAAAAGCTTATATAGTTTGTGTGAGAGTCTCAGAGTATGTTTGATGTCTCTTTTAGTTTGTCAAGGTTTCTATCAACAGTGAGGCACAATAAAGGAAACTGCTTAGCAGAACTTCAAGGTGTCTTTCTTGAGTTTTGGAGCCTGACATCTATGATGGTATGAAAAAAATTGCCTCTGTAATTTCTCTTTACCACAATTTGGCAACAAGGAAATCAGCATTGCTGTCTGCCCACTGTAATGCCAGGTAATTTCAAGTAGGCCATTGGCATAATCCATATTATCCTTCTCTTGATTAGTTTCACCTCTAGACAACAAGCCACCAATAACTCCTCTGATATTTTTTGGTTTGTTTGTTTGATAACTTAGAGTTAATATTCTTTTGGCTGAGTCATTGATGGCCATTACCGACTTGAACAAGATGTGAGCAAGGACAGTGCCAGTTGGCTTAGCACATGGAAAGGTGGTAAACCTTTGAACCTTTCATGAAAGCACTTACAAGGTTAGGAAGAAATACAGTCCTCATTAAGGTATTTAGAAAAGATTGCCAAAAGAGAAGAGATAGCTACCAGTTGTAGGTAGTTGGCTTCAGCCTTTGTTGATTGCTTTAAGGTTAAGCTATGCTCAGTGCAAGGAGGAGAGGAAAAAAGAAACTTCAAGAGATTAGGAGATTCATAATCACTTAACAGAATTCCTGCCCAAAGCCCAAGTAAGTTAAATTCTTCTGGAAAGCTTTGTTATTCCTTTTAATTTGCCATAACCAGAAATTGATAATAGTGATGAGGGAAAGATGGGTATTCTTTTCCCAAGATCAGAACAATAAATGGGCAAAGAAGCACTAATCCTTCCAGTTCTACAGTAGAATTCCTTATATCTCTGAAGATCAGAGCTTTCTTTTGCTCTTTTTATGGAAACTTAAAGGAAGGAAGGAGGAAGTGTTCCAGTGACGGTTTCAAGTGTTATAATGCCCGGACAGCCTGACTTTCATGGACAAGGTTAGGGTTAGCAGAATTCTGATAGGAATAGATAGAATTCTTTATTGGCCAAGTGTGATTGGACACACAAGGAATTTGTCTTGGTGCAAATGCTCTCAGTGATCATAAAAAAAGATATATTCATCAAGAATCATAAAGTACAATATTTAATAATAGTCATAGGGTACAATAAGCAATCAAATCATACTAGGAAACAGTCAGTATAAGTCGTAAGGGTACAAGCAACAAAGTTACAGTCATACAGTCACAAATGGGAGGGGATGGGTGATAAGGAGTGATGAGAAGATAAATAGTAATAGTAGTGCAGACTTTGTAAATAGTTGGACAGTGTTGAGGGAATTATTTGTTTAGCAGAGTGATGGCGTTTGGATAAAAGCTGTCCTTGTGTCTAGTTGTTCTGGTGTGCAGTGCTCTATTGCATCATTTTGAGGGAAGGAGTTGAAAGAGTTTATGTCTGGGATGTGAGGGATCTTTAAATATTTTCACGGCCCTCTTTTTGACTCGTGCAGTATACAGGTCCTCGATTGAAGGCTGGTTGGTAGTAATTGTTTTTTTCTATAGTCCTAATTACTCTCAGAAGTCTGTGTCTGTCTTGTTGGGTTGCAGATCCGAACCATATACAACTTGAAATATTTAGCTTTAATAAAAACAAATAATGAATACTTGTTTCTCAAATGAATCTCAAAAATCCATTTGATTAATTCTATTCAGTCTACAAAACAATTTTTTAAAGTTAATAGCATGGAAAAACCTGCTGAAATTCTAAATATGAAAGTTGGTTTTTATATGGTCAAAAGTAAGCAACTCAAAATAAAATTTAAATCAAAAAATAAATAAAAATAAAATAAAATCAGTCAGGAGAAATAACAAAAAATTTGTTACACATTGAGCTTGCATTTTATACACTGCAGTTGGTGGAATTGTTTTGTAATGATTTTATACTTTTGTAACAATAAATCTACTTATCTGAGCTTTTATCTCCTGGGAAATAAGCTTTTGCACTTCTTTGTCTTGCCAAGAGAGGCCTGACAAAATGTACCAAATAGAGATTTCATACTGCCATCTACTTCTAGGATTGGTTATGAAACATCAGCGAGATTATTTATGTTTTGGTGATAGGGGAAAGATGTGCAAAATTGTTGCTAGAAACATCTTGATGATAATTTTCAAAAAGATGTATGGTAAAGTTTGGATTAATGAAATTTTGTCAAATGTTTTGTGAACACAGAATTTCAGCCTGGAGATCCAGATCTTTATCTTAAAGACTGCCTGCCTGTGAATCTTGGGCTGTGGCACCCAACAAATTCTGAAGAACTGTGAATTCCAATTTGTCAGGTTGAGAGATTGATCATGGATATCAAGGAAGAAGGGGCACCAGAGGAAGAACAGCGGTTTATTCCATCTGCACAAGCAGATAGTTATGTGGAGTCTAAACTCACAAGTAAGTAAATTCAGTATGTAAGCTATCTGCTGTATAATGATCCTGTGGATGGTGTTAGAAAAACTAATGTTTTATGTGTAGATACTCAATTTCATAAAATATCATAGATAAAAATATATTTCTATTTTACAAATTGGCAACAGGATTCGGAGAATTGTTAACTCCAAATCTCATATCTCAGTGTGCTGAACCCTGTTGATTATTGTACTTCTGAATCATTAGATATTAAGCTTAATGTGCTCATCATTGCTCTATTACTATGAAACTGCTTCAAAACACTTTACAACAGTTAATGATGTAGTAACAGCTGCATTTCCTGTTCTAAATGAAGTAGCAAATGCCTTGATATCCTAAATTAATCATACTAAATTGAGCATCTTGGCTTTGACAGCAGTCTTCCGCAGACTAAAAAACAATTCATTGGAATTTATGACATTTAGACAAACAAATTTCATTTTAAAATTCTTCATAATTTAAGTTTATTCTTATTTTGCCTTGCAATATTTATCTTTTAGATTTATGTGTCACCCATCCCACTGTAGCAGTGACTCTGAGTGACTTACAAAATGATAAAAAGATAATACAAGACAATTAAATTAAAATTACAAAAGACTAGTTAAAGACAAGAGGACAGACAAGATGGGGTGAGAATCCTCTGTCTACCATGTCAGCCACGCCAGCATAGAGCACCCCTTGCAGGGCTCCATCCCAGCTGGCAGAACCAGGAATTAAGGCTCTTCCTGAAGGCCAGGAGTGTAGGGCCCAACCCAGGGGTGGGATACGACAGGGTTAACTACCGGTTCGGGATTTACTAGCTTCCCTGCAGGCTGTGAGCCACGCACCTGTAAATCGTCATCATCAGCTGCCTGCAGAGAAGCAGCCTTTGAAACAGCCCTCTTTTCTTGCTTTTCTAACTGCAGCTGTGCCTCGTTTGGCAGCTGAAGTTGAAAAATCAGGAAATAAAGATCAGGTAAGAGCCCCGGTGGGTGGGCGGGCAAAAACATCAGCAGATATAGAACCAGTGCTATGTCTGCTGCTCTTCAGAGCTACCAGTTCTACAGAGGTGGACAGAACCGGTAGAAACCCACCCCTGGCCCAACCTCGTATTTGGTTGTAGAATATTCCACAGGGAGTGTCCACAGCAGAAAAAGGCTCTTCTCCTGACTGCCAGCCAAAATTCTTCAGACAGGATCTGAAGTAGGCAGTGGCAAATTAAGGCTCACTTGTGCCCTAAGCACTGACAAATCTTGGTACCCTCCTCCTTTGTACATACTGTACAAGCAAAGACATATTCTCAACTTTGTGGTGCACCTTTTGGGCCTGGTGCCCTAAGCATGTGCTTAGTCTGCTTAATGGTTAATACACCACTGGAAGTAGGCTTCTTCTGCAGGAGCAAGTGAAATAGGCTAATCTATTAAAGAATATGAAGTATTTTAACATCTTTATAGCATTCAATATGTAGTAATGTAGCCTGCTGAAGTGAATATCTTTTGATTTTCTTTATAATGGGGAAGGAATGAGCATGTAATCTGAATAGGAATGGTGTGAATAAATAGTGGTAATAAATAAGAATAATTCCAGTTAGCAAAATAGTGATAGATTAAAAAAAACGGAGAAGGGCAGCTCTTGTATGATAGTTTAAAATGCTGCTGATGAAATTCTTTCCTTAATGCTATAACTAATGTAATACAAAATATATATTCTCATGTATGAATACTTTTATAATGTAATATAATAATGTAATATAATATATGCTTTCCAATAGGTCTCAAGAAGTTTGTTAATGAGCCAAAGTTTGAATTCAGTCTTGGTAAGACAAAGTGTTCAATCTATGTTAATATTTCTAAAACTTCTTTTTATTTTAGAAAGTCTGAAAATGAAGTGGTATTTCTGAAATAATTTGTAACGCATCTTGAATTATTTTTATGAGATCATAGATGTAGTTTCTGTCCATAGGTGTGTATTTTTTATCAGTAGAAGATGAAGTGACACTCCTTTTTTATTATAGTTTCCTTCTCTATACAGAGAAATAATGTAGTATTAACCTGCTTTCCTGCCTGCCTTTCTTCCTTTACATTGAAGATCAGGTAGAAGAAATAAATCATCACAGTAGGTGGGACATTTTAATTTATTTTTCCCATTTGAGTGGCTTCTAAGAGGAGGCAATTATCAATGACAAAGCATCCCAACATCAGAAAATGCTTTCACAACACAAACATTTGTGTTGTACTTCAAATCTATTAGATGTTTTTTCTTCACTTTTTTCTATTAATAAGCCATGCCCTGGTTTTGACAAATGCCTTTATTTTTCTGCTGAATAATAATATCCCGAACCAGTTAAAGAAAGAGCTCCTAAAGAGATAGACCTTCTTTATCAGATAGAAATATGAAATTATTTCCCCCCAAATAATCCTTGTGTGTGGCAGGGGATCTTACAGTTGCTAGAAAGAACAGAAGATACTTAGATGCTGATAGCCAATGTGGTAAAATGGTTATGATGTTATGATCCATGCTCAAATTCCCAGTCAGTCATAAAAGCTCTCTGGTAGGGTTGGGACAGTTATTATCTGTCATTCAACAGAATTATTCTTTGGAGAAATTAGTCTTGTACTTCACTTACATATAGGCACATACCAAATAAAAATAATAAATACTAGAACAAAGGCCAAGGAGATATGTAAAGGGTTGTACATGTCGCTGTTGCAAAGGATAATCCCTTTAAAGATTAGCTCTTGCTTAAACAAAGTGTTTGCCTTTTTCAGACACCTAAATAGGGTTTTATCTTTTATCATTTTCCCATGACCTCCACTCTTGTTTTTCTAATTCTCTTTCCCAAAGCAATCTTTCCTGTCACTTTCAAATATTGTTTTGCTCTTTTCTGGTGGAAGAAAAAGGGTGTGCATATCAGTGGTGGTATTCAATTTTTTTTACTACCAGTTCTGTGGGCATGGCTTGTTGGGCGTGACAGGGGAAAGATACTGTAAAATCCCCATTTCCACCCCACTCCAGGGGAAGGATATACTGCAAAATCTCCCATTTCCACCCCACTCCAGGGGAAGGATACTGTAAAATCCCCATTACCTTCCCACCCCACTAATCTGCTTTCCAGCTCCGTTCTCCTGTGCAGGGCAACAAAAGAAGACCCAGCCGATAGCTGGGACTCTGATCAGCTGGGACTCAGGAGGCAGTAAATAGATGTGGGCAGGCCCAACCAGAGGTGGTATTTACCGATTCTCCGAACTACTCAAAATTTCTGCTATCGGTTCTCCAGAACCTGTCAGAACTGGCTGAATACCATCTCTGTGTGTGTACCTAGGAGTATTTGCAAGATTTTGTATTTGAGAGGAGTTTATTCATGAGACAAAGAATGGTCGGTGTATAAAGATAGGACATCAATTAATTTTATAAAAGGGACACTTAATTTTACAGATAATAGCAGTTGTTACGATTAAGGTTAAGTAATTGAATTCACCTTTTTTACTTTTGGGTTTTGGTTGGGGTTTTTTTGTTTGTTGTTTTTTGGGTGGGTAGGGTTGGTCCTGCCCTTGCCTTTTTTCTTTCTGAAAGATATATATACCACACGGTTATATATATCATTCACACGAAACATTAGTAAAGTTGGGTGAAGTATAAGGTTTGTTCCAACTGGAATTCACAGTTTTGGATAACAAAGCTCATATTGTTAAACTATATGTATTAAGTTAAAAAAAATATGGATATCCAAACTTGTAAATTTATTTAAGAATTGAGTGGATTCTGCTGAGATTTAACCCTTTTTTAAGAAGCATACTTTAAATTATTCTTTTACATAATAATATATTGTTTTATTATTATCGCTTGAGTTTCACAAAAAAACCAACCTTGTGCATTTCTAACTAAAATAAAGTATAGACAACAAGGAAGAAGAAGCTATATATTTTGAGGGTAAGAAGTATGAAAACATTTTAAATTTAAGTGCATTTATACATTCAGTTATTTAAGATCAGGTGGTTTTCTGAACACCCTGTCATGTTCCATTATTTGTCAATTTTATTTTGTATGCTTTTAGTAATGAAATTTTAGTTAAGTTTCGCAACATCGAAGACGTTGAATATACTTCTTTGTTAGTTTGTGCTGTGGATGCAATCTATTTTTATGACTTATGTTCCAACAGGATATTAGGTTGATAGCTAAAAGCCAGTTTGGTTGCAATGGTTAAGGCATCAGACTACTCCTGCCTTAGATGCAAAGCCAGCTGGATGATTTTGGATTAGTCACTTCTTTCAGCCCTGGGGAGGTAGAAAAATAAAAAAACAACTGAACATTAGGAATATTGGTATAAAGAAGCTGATCTCTTACTATTAGAAGCATGTCTGATTTTTCTCTCTTATGACATCTGATCCGGTATTTCAAAAGTATTATTATATCTTTATAATATAATTATATAATATATAGATATATAATAACATATAGCTATAATTATAATATAATTATATCTATATTCTTTCTCTTTCCTTTGTAGGATTTTTTTTCCTGGTAGCCTTCTCTTTCAATTTCTCTTAATCATTTCAGAATTCTGTGCCTGGAATCAGAAAGACTACTTGAGCTGCAGTCTGGGAAAAGGAGAATAAAGTGGAACAGTTATTCCACATTACAATCCTCTCCAGGCCGCCTAAAATTTAATTTAGCTTCGGAAGTTTTATCCTAAGTAAAAAACACTTGAGTACAATAAAAATAAAATGATTTGAATATTGTTGAATCCAAAAACAATAGAGACATATTGGGGTTTCCTGCATAATGTTTGTTATGATTATCATAAGAATAAATATATGCAACTTGCATACAAAATATTGTATCTAGCATAATAAGTTTCACAACCAGATTATCTTTTGAAGTACAATATATAATTATTATGCAGAAATAAAAATCAACATTGTGGTCTGACTATAAAATTGTGGTCACTAGTCTGGTATGAACAATTCAAATGTTTCTTAATCTTTAAAAGGGAGTGAAAAAGATTATGGGATGTTATACAAAATGACTGAAGAAAATAAACCTTTTCTGAATGTGACATTAAAGATTCACCTATGTTGTTGATTGCAGAATATGATTATTTTGCAATTTTTATCAGTCTTATGAAATGCTTTTTATCTGACATTCTAGGTTATTTAGGTAAGAAGCTTTGAGCTATCTTTACTACAAGCAGGAGGAAATTACTGAAACTTCAGAGAATGGGTCAAAATATAAACATTTAAAAAACTGAACCATGTTGAATATAATATATTTTCAGATTTAGAAAAACCACGTCTTAGTATTAGGCTCCTGGAAAGTTTATTTATTCATAGATTTGTACTTGAGGAAAACTATAGTAGTTCTGACTATAGGCGTTTGAGATCACTAGAAAAAAATATATTTAGAATGAAAACCTATTATCAAACAGCAGTTGGCAAATCTTTATATTATTTGTTTAATTTTTCTGTTTGTTAGCAGTCTGTTTGAATGTGCTTGACATTACATAGAAGTGGCAAAATGATGATGGAAACTATTTTGGCAAAGACAATTTGTAATAATTGTATAATTTCCTCATTTGCCTTGTGATGTATTTAAACAGGCTTATGTAATTTCTAGTCCTGAAATATTGGAGGGTCATCCATGCAATTCTCTTATCTGGATAGAAAATGTTAATGTTCAGCAAGCAGCTAATTTTAGCTAAGTAGTTTTGCACTACTTTAAACTTTCTCCATTGTACAGAATGGAAAGTCATTTAAAGTATCATTGCTACATGGGAAAAGTAGCAATTTTAAGGGTCACTGCTGAGAAGGGACAGGCTAATCACCCGTCCTTCCATTAAAACTTTAATATTATTGCTTTTATTTTGTCTATTAATCTTCTTTGCTTTTCAGTATTTTGGTAATTCTATGAGTAAACATATTAATCAAACACATAAATAAGTTTTAAATTCTAATTGCCAAGTAGAAAATGTTTTTGAGAGAATTTTGTAATTTTCTAAGGAAATGCAATGGAAATAAATGGAAAAAGATGTGCCGTTTTATGAAAGTAATTTCAAAACTTGTCTATCTGAATTGTTCTTAATTTAAACAATATATTTCCCATAACTTTGCACTTTTATTGTACAAAGTCTAATTCCTCAAGGATATTGTTTAGGGAATGAGTGACAGAATGACATTTGCAAAAAAATGTCAGGCTCTCCCTGCGCTGCCCCCCTTTGTCCCCTTTGTTGCTTTAAAGGGCCATTGGCTGGAGGCGCTGTGTGGCTGGTTGCCCCACACAGCAACCACCACGTCTCGTGTCTCCCAGCCCAGCTCCCAAGGCCACTGCCATCGGGGTGCAGCTAATTGTCTCATGTAGTGAATTGCCCAGAGACAATTTTTCCTTGGTGAATCGCCCAGGACAAGGGGGTGGGTGAGGAGCACCAGCAGACCACTGCCATGGGAGGAACACCAGTGGAGAATCAGCTGAAGATGAAAGCCTCCAGTGGTTTGGCTGTGATGGAGGGCCCACAGTAAAGTGAGCACAACAATGTGGCCACCACCAATTGTCCCATGTTGCATACCAGATATGGTGAAATATCTAGGAATGGATAGCTGCTGAATTAATGTGGATCCATATAAAAAGAGTGACAAGTATGAAAGATGTATAGTCTCAATAATTAGAGCATATCTCAAAAGAAATATATGATACATATTATGAGAAAGAGAAGACCAAGAAAGTCATGATTGAGTAGAGTTGACAAAGTTCTGAAAAAGAGAAATGAGAATTTTAAACAGTGAGAGAAAATGTGCGAATTGATCTAAATAATCCATTGAAATAATAAATAGTTTGTATTCTAGGGATGTTTGAAAATGTATAATGAACATTGTTATGAATAATATTTGTTTTAATATTGTTCATATGTATAAAGGTATGTTAATTGTTATGAACAATATTTAGCCATATTTCCTTATCTCATTCTTAATTTGTTGGCCTCATTGTTTCTTCATTCTTTTCTGAGCTACACATAATGTAGCTGACATGGCAAAGAAATTCCCTCCCTCTCCCCTCCCTCCCTCCCATCCATCCATCCATGCATCCCCCATCTTTCCTAAATGAGCTCTTAGAAAATATTTGCATGAAGTGCATAATGGCTTAGCTGAATAAAAAAAATAGATTGCAGCATGTGATTTCCTATTTCTGTGGTGTATTTCTAAGAGACTTCCTCTATTAAACAAGCTTAAGTCTCTAGGGCTTCAAAACATTGTTCAAACTGCCTCTCACATAACAATGTGCTCATTGTAATTTAATTTTTTTTATTTTTTCTTTCTCTGCCCTCCACCTCTGTACCATTCCCAGCATGTAAAGATTTAGTGGCTCCTACACGGGATCGAAAACTGAATACATTTGTGCAGATCACTGTAGTGCATCCAGGAGAACAGAACCAAACAAGATACACAAGCACGGAAATTGTGGAGGTGATTCTTTCCTCTTTGCCTTTCTCTTTCCTCTTTTCCCTTTGCTCTCCTTTCTTTTCCTCATTTAACTAGTGTGAATAGCTGCAGTGTTTCCTGTAAAAATAAAGTTATTTTTGCAGAGGGACATTTAAGAGCCGTGGGGGTGCAGTAGTTAGGATGCAGTATTGCAGGCTAACTCACTGTTCACTCCAGTAGTTTGATTTTGTGCAGTTTAAGGTTGACTCAATCTTCCATCCTTCTGAGGTTGGTAAAATGAAGACCAAGATTGTTGGGGGTGATATTGCTGACTCTGTAAACTGCTTAAAGCACTATGAAGCGGTATATAAGTCTAAGCGCTATTGCTAAAGATGGCTTGGATTTTTAAGATATAGACTTGTGCTTGGATTCTTAATTGTTGATTAATTTGAATTTAAAAAATGCAAAGGCATTGTTTTAAACTAATATAAAAGTTTGATTACCAAAACGTTAATGTGTATTCATATAACTTGTATAGTAAGGCACATTGTTCTTTATGGTCACAATATGTATTACATTTTATATCTGCCTTTCCCAAGGAAGTTATTTTCAGGTTGTTGGACTACTAGTGCATTGTCTCCAGAGGCTGTTTTATATTGGCATATTTTATAAGCAAATTGAAGTAAACATGACATTATCTAATTTAACCTGGCTCCTTTTTGTATCTCTACTTCTTGTAATGTTTGTCAAAAATTAAAAAAAAGATTAATCTTAGAAAATTTAGCAGAGTGCATGTTGAGATGTATTTACCTATATTTCTTGGGAGAGAAAGCAAAACACTTAATTGCACTCAGCTGCATTCAAATTCACTTCCAAAAGTTAGGTTGTCAGATGCATCCATTCCTGAACAATCTTCTAGTTAGCTTCTGAGTTGTTTTTATATAAAGTATCCATAACTGACTAAAACACATAACTGAGTGGAAGACGTCAGTGTAGACTTTCTGAGAAGCTGAGCTTTGGTTTTCAGAGCAAATCATTTAGGCACACGTTGAATCCTTTCCTATTCTACAATTAGCTGATACTTGAAACAGAAACACTGGGCAATTTATTTTTTTGTATTTGCATGCAAGTACAGGTAATCCTCAATTTAGAACACTTCATTTAGAGACCATTCGAAGTTACAACAGCCCTGAAAAAGGTGACTTGTAAAAAGGTTGTAAAATGGGGCAAATTTCACTTAATAACATAAATTTTGGGCTCCATTAGGGTTATAAGTCAAGGATTACCTGTAATTGCCCTCCAAACAGCTAATAGACAGCTGTTAAATCTACAAATATAAGTTACAAAGTATCTTTATAATAGTCATAAGCTGGACAAATAGCTGTGCTGTCTGACTTATGCAATATTATGGACTGCTTCTGAATATTCTCCCATTTTCATAAAAGTTTGCAACATTAAAAATGTAAAAATTACATTTTTTCTATGGGCTGATAAAATTAACTAAACTTGTGCCTCCAAACCATGTTATCCTACTTATTTTAAAAATATTTATTTTACTCTTCTTCCAAACTGTTTATAATTCTGGCACACCTGTATTTGGTTTACTTTATGCCTGTTATGTTTTTGCATTTTATGACAGTGCATAAACTAAATGTGTGCAAAATTACATGACTTCAATAATGGATGAGTAGATGAACTGCTCCTCCTAGTTAGAAAAAAAATGCTGCATATTCTAACACAATCATTGGAGTAGTAAACTGTTGCAAATTTAAGTTTTGCATCCTAAAACATTTGTCTGTGCTTTGAGAGCGATTATATTTTGCATTTTTGACTGTTGGCAATCAAAATCAGTCTTTCCTATCTAGAAGTACTGCATTTGGAAATCTATTCTCCTCTTGACCATAATTGAATCCAAGACAGTACACAGCTGCTACCTAGCTAAATCTGAATTATGTCCTTATGCTATGCAGGGAACAAAAGACCCACTGTTTTTGACTGGTGTGACGTTCCCCCCAGATTACCCTATCTACGAGGAGACTAAAATAAAGCTAACAGTCTATGATGTTAAGGATAAATCTCAAGACACAGTAGGTATCTTGCTACTTCTTTTGCTAAGATGTTTTAATCGGTTCTCTTTATTGTTTTCATTCCTTTATTTCTTGGTATTATACGTTGCATTTTGCTGAAGTTATTATAGGTTTGCTCAGAAAGTAAAGAGTTAATACTTTGTATAACACATCTGCCTAACGGTTGATGATCAGCATATGGAATGGATCAAGTTAGAATGTCTAGAAAGAAAGTAAGAAACCCCAGAAATCTGTTTCTGATCATTGAATGTTAAGCAACATTGAAAGGTCAGTCTTGAAGAGAAGAGAGGTAATGTAACTGTGGTATTCCTATATTGAGGCTGACATTCTTGCAGCCTGTCAGTAATGCTTTAAAATATATTATGAATATATTCATGAATATATTATGAAAAACAATTTAAAGCACAAAATTTAAAGTATTTACATAGAATGTATATATAAATGCTTGAAACTATATTCAAAACAATTGTATGAATTAATTTTAGGATTCCCCCCCCCCCAAAGATTTGGGATTCAAATGCCAAAGATTTGAAACAATAAGCAATACTTAATTTTAGCATATTTCTATTGAGTTATAATTTAATATTTGTTTTATATTCCCGTGTATTTAAAAAAAAGAATAAAAATAAGAATGGATGAAGATTCTATATATTATATAAACTTTAAGTAGTTATTTTAATTAAAATTCTTTATGTTCACTATGATTTTATTGCTTTTGTTTATTTTTACTATAAACTACCTTTGGAAGATTATGATCCTTAAAGAGAGCTAAGAAATAGATTTTAAAAATAATATGATATAACTCCAGATATTGTATCAATAGGATAAACTTATAGGTTTTAACTCACGGTAATTCAAAAGGATATGTATTTATTTTCTCATTCTTATCAATAGTTTTGTAAATGATTAATATCAATATATATTGGGTTAAGAAGGAATTATGGTTCAATAAACTTTTTTCTGTAGGGTTTTATATTTCCATTTGGAAAGATTGCTTTGGATCTGGTAACATTTTTCTGTTGTCATTGCAGCCACAATAACTTAATTTGGAAAAATAAAACTAGATTTATATAAATGATACTTGAGGAATAGAATAGAAAATCGATGAAATGCAGTTGACTTGTACCTTAGAAGATGAATTTGGGAAATTTTAGAATAGACACATTTAACTTGTTTTTCTCTCAGCAGGAAAATGCATCATAGAAACTTCAGCTTTGATGTGAAATTTTAGTGATTCCTTTTCTATGGTTACCACTTTGTTACTTTCTGATTTTTCTGTTGATACTTGAGGTTGTCAGTGTTCCAAGTAATAAATCCATTGCAAGCAAGACTCTGATGGCTTCGGTCAGGCCAGCTTCAGGGTTTACAACTTGCAACTTAGAAGCAAGGTTTGTTTAATTTCTGTTAATAGTTTATGTACTTAAGCTTGGTTCATTTGGCCATTTGATTTGGCTCATTGGTTTCCTACCTTAGTTCAGGTGAAACACTTCTATTTTCTCTTTTAAATTATTCTTCTTTATTTTTTCGGCTGGTGTTTTATAATTGAGAGGTATAAATAGGTCAAATAATGATAGGTATATAATTAAAGTGACAATTAAACTGACAAACTATAATTTATTGTATCCATATTTTGTCCAATGTAGTCTGGTAGAAGGCAACAGTTCTCAAACTTAATTATTACGGCATTTAAAAATAATAATAATGTGGCACTGGGGCTAAATGATGCTAGAATCTTGCAAAATTTGGCTTTCTCTTGAGATTTAGAACTTTTATCTTTAAAAATATTGGATTTGACTTCCACACAAGGCTCTTCTGCAATGTCCATATAGACCACATAGGTTTCTAGACTATTGTTCATGGCTTTAGAGCATTGGTTGTAAAACAGTAGCCTAACATGCTTCCCACTCTGAGGACAATATGAAGTTTATGATCAAGAATCATGGTTTATAAATGGCTTACTAAGCAGTAAGCTTCAAAATAAATGAAACTCGTATTTATAAAATATAAGTAGAAGAGGGTTGATCATGTGCCTATCCCATGTAGATTCAATTTTTAAAAATTAGAATGTTTGCTCTGTTCTAATAATGATTTCCATCATCCCATTCTACAATTTAAGAGGAAGCATTCAGTTATCTATATTGTCTCACTAGATTAATGTGTCTTACTAGAAACTGTGTGCCTTTTCTTTTTACCTGATACATTATAGATCAAATATTTTTGCAGCAGAGGATCTGTAAAAAGCTTCTTTGTGCAATGTACATCAAAGACAACTACATGGCAATATACAGTACTTTGTTATGTTCATTCTATTTGTTATGAAAAGTGCTTCACAGGGCACAGTTGTACTAGACAACAGCTAGTAGTTATGTAGTTGCATTCAATTTGGTCAAATGATTAATGTGATGATATAGATATGTATGTTATTAAAAAGCATTTCTGACATATAAATTGCACCTATAGAAAAATTGCTCAGACATTGACAAAGAGGGGTATTGGATAGGCCCCATATATTTTTTATTATCATCTATTCTTTTCAAAAAACCAACTATATCCTTGATCACAAATAGAAGATATTTGTCTTTATTCAACCCACCATCACCACTAATGGTTCATCCAGATTTGTTTCCCTCCTCTTGTTTGAAATAAGTGTTTTGTGCTTTGAAAGGAGGGTTTTCTGCTTTGCTGTCAGTTTGCTTTCTACAGTTTATTCTATGCTAAACCAATCTCTCTCTCTCTCTCTCTCTCTCTCCCTCCCTCCCCTATGATGTTACATAAATCTTAGATGATTTATTTGGGTACATTCCATTGCAGGGATATACAATGAATTCTTTTCAACTCTTAACTGTAGCTATAATATTATAGGTAGTTCAATGTGCACTCTGATTGCCTGCCAGGATTAATACAGTAACAGAAAATGAAGTTTTTCAAATCTGAATTGATCTATACTTGAAATGCTTCTTTGTGAATAAATTCCAAAGAAGGGTTTCAAATATGCTTCTGTCACTGAAAAATGTGAGTTGATTAAAAATGTTCAGGAATTTAGAGCTGGTTTCAGTAGCAAACATAAGGAGGCAGTGATTATAGTGAGCTAGCTGATATGCAGCTCTCAAGATCCTGTTAATTGTAAGAGAGTCTCGGAGCAGAAATGTGGAGATTATAAATATGCAACTGCCAATAATGGCTCATACAAGAAATGGAAGGCATGAATTCTGTTGTGATGCAGGGGAAAAATGCTGGGTGTGAATATAGAGGAAATACAAGTTATGAATCTCCCTGTATTGCTCCATAACTATCAACTGTTTGTTATGACTACTGTTCCTGGGTTACAATAAGGATTTGGTTTATAACCACATTGAAATATCTGAGAAGCTTCTCCTAAGTTTAAGGTGCTTTGGGAAACTTGAGAAGAGGTCAGATAGAAAATTCTAATTGAATTCTTCCACAGTATTCAGCTTTTGCTTTTTAATTATTGTATCTGTTATAATTTATTTTATTCCATCTGTGCAGCAGCTCTGCTTAAATTGAATTTCTGAAATGCAAATAATTCATGTGCTTTTGTATAAATCTATTCTGATTCATGACATTAAAAATCACTATATTGACATAATACGTCATAGCTCTTAATTGTAGACATAGAAATAATAATAGATGGTTAAGAATTTCGCCTTTAATGAGATATATGAAGAATCCTTGTTTCCTAATAATTTTTTTTCAGTTTTGCACTGTATTTTAACAACAGATTCTTCATTAGAATGATTCAAAAGTATTTGTGCAGAAACATGTTTGTATTTATTCTTCCAAACTTTTATGTCTTTTAATGATGGCGTCAACATGAGTAAAGGATTTTTAATTTAATAATTTTAGTGGATTACAGCTACATTAAGTGTAGATTTTTCAAGAAAATATGTGTTAAATTTTTTTTGCTGAACAAAAAGCATCTAAAAGAGATTTTCCTTGCTGCATGGGTAGGGAGGAGGAAATGCCTCTTCTGCATTGGCATTGGTAGTTATGCATTTCAAGAATTACAGTCCACGTGGTAAACATGATACTGCACTCTGGTAAATAATCTAAGTAGTAAGCCTTCTGGTCATTTCTCAAAGTCTGGTATCTTGCATTGATGCTAAACTGGTTTGCCTTGAAAGAATCACAATTGGCTACGTCAACGTGTGGAATAAAAGCAAATAAACCAGATTGTCCTTTAGTGGGGTGTTAGAAAAAAGGTTAAAACATAGTATAAGCTCTAAAATAGACATACCATACAGAGAACATACCATACAGAGAAATCTGTGAAGTATCTCAAGAAGCTACCTGTTCCATATATAGGATGCAAACTCACCTACTTTGTTACCACAGATCCTGAAATGTTGTTTCTGATAGAAGAGAATATTTGTAGCTCAGGGTTGAACTGCAGGGACCTTGGTGTTCTCTGAGCTTGGATGTTTTCTTGCAGATGTTTCATTATGAAACTAGATGACATCATCAATTCAAGAAAACAACTAGCCAAGTTCAGTCACAAACTTGCTTTTTATCCATCAAAAGCTTGACTACCTATTACTTAATTGGTCTCTAGTAAAATAATTTATAACCTCAGGAATCTCTGAAATAAATTAAATGGTGAAACTATGAAGTTAAATTAGAACCAGAAGAAGATGGAATCAATGACAATTATAAAATATTTCCTTTTAAATAAAATAGAAGAGAAGGATCACTTTTTTGTTCAGGACAAAAGACATTCTAAGGTTGAATTACTTTCATTAACTAAATAGTTTCTAGCTTAGTTTCCCAAATAATAACTTTAAATTAAATTATTTGTTGATTTCTCAATTGATTTGTCTAGGTTCGGACCAGCATCCTGGCAGAAAACAAAGATCCAAGGACAGACAGTGGGGTAGGTATATATTTACATTAAAACAGATAACGGTAAAATGTTAAAGTTGTGATGATTAGCTATTCAAGAACTTTTTGTAAATTATATTTGTGCAAAATATTCAAGAATTGAATATACAACCATGGCACTTCCTAGCTACTTTTTTTTGTATGTTGTTATAGTAGGAAGTAATGCAGACACTGCAACAGTTCTATAGTACCTTTCTATACAGAGACATAAAATCAATATATTCCTTTCTATTCCTTTCCTTTCCAGCTAGTTCAATTCAAGTGACATTTTATTTTTCATTGCATTACATTTGTTAATCACTCTTGCTAAAATTGTCTGTATCAAATATCACAAAGCTTTTCTATTAATGATCATATTAATTTGATAATTATCATGGTTTGTACTTTCTGTATTTTATAATTCTCTTAGATTACTTTTTGCAATCCTCTTTACAATGCCACGAGTATATACCTAAGCCTCATTCATAACACTTCAGATAACCAATAACCAACCACTTAATATTTTTTTCAGATTCCTGATATATCACAAGTGTCAATATAACAAAGACCCATATGTTTACCATATTAAAAAGTCTGTGCATCTATTGTTATCATTTTCATCTTAATTTTGTTAGAATTAGCTAAACTGCTTCAAAATCTGTTTGTCTGACAATCCGACACAAATAGTAATATATTATTTTGTCATTTTTATTTTTTATTGGTTTAAGGCTTTTATTTGTAATGCTGGTCTGTGACCATAATAACATTGATTGATGTTATCAACTTTTTGCTTAGCTGTTACTATTTTAATAACTTTCAGAGGATATATAATTTAATTAGTAAAGTTTTATTTACTAATTAGTAAATCAATAAAGTTTTATTTACTAAAGCTTTATAGTTTTATTATATTAGATTTATTAATGCTACGTAAATAAGTAAGTAAATAAGTATGTTATTGTTGTAATAGGAGTATTCTGGGTATACCATGTTTGATTTAGTTTGTAGTTGCCAATATATAATTGCACTCAATTATCCCTGTCAATCCAGATTATAATTGTTGTCTTTTATTTCCCTTTTTATTTTTTCATGTTGCTTGTAATTGACTGAATAAATAAAGCAAACTGCACAACAAAAATAAGTGTGATCAATAGAGTTGGATGAATACATTTGCTTGCATCTGCAATGAAAAGAGGGAAACAAATGTTCCATATAGTGTTGAATTAATAAATGTAGAATTCATCCTATTAATAACATATTCCATTTTCTATACCTGAGACACAGGTTGATGTAATGGTTAAAACATCAGGCTAGAAACTGAGAGACCATATGTTCTAGTCCCTCTGTAGGCGCAAAATCAGCTGGTTGACTTTGGGTCAGTCATCATCTCTCAGGCCTAAGAAAGCAGCAGGGGCAAACTACTTCTGAAAAATCTTGCCAAGAAGATTGGAAGGACTAGTCCAGGCAGCCACAGGGAATCAACATTGACTCTTAAAAATAAATAAAATGGCTATGTAAGAAATACCTCTACAAAATAAAGATGTTCATATTTGACAAATAACTGATGCTGCCTGCAAGCCTGACTAATGAATGATACCTTCACAGTTAACCTCAACTGTGGTATAAAAATAATTAGACCTAAACAGATATCTTCTCTTATAGCTTCATATTTTTACCATGCAATTTTTCAGGTTGTCAATTCGTTTTGTTTTGAGTGAAAAAGAAATTCCTGTTCCAGTTTAACCAATTATCAAGAATAGCATCATTGATCCATGAAATCATTCAGTGGTGAATAAATGTTAAGTTTGCCATTTAATATTTATCTTTTGCCATCAAGATTATCAAGTGTTTGTTTCTGGCTGAAAGAGAAACCATTACTATTTGAGAAACTCTGTGTTTTGTACATCTCATACAACCCTTGTCTTTTGTGAATCTTCGTATATCTAATCTTTCCTTTGGTTTTTAGCGAAGTTTCCTGGGTTCTGCTACTTTTAAAGTAGGCGAATTGGTGAAGTCAGAAGAGCAGCAGTTGACTCTTAGCCTCAGGTAGATCTTCCTGTTAATTACAAATCTTGTCAAATTAAGAAAACTACCATTGAATGATTGGCGCTTTTCTATCTTTTATTTAAAATTAATGCAAATGTTACATAATATGCTGGAGGATTTTGTTCAGTCCAATAGGGAGATTACTTGTTCCATTTCTCTTTTACTGTATACTTGAATTATCCTTTTATCTTTTTAGGTAAAAAAAAATCATGTGCAATAATGTTATCTGGTTTTTTGTTTTTGAAATGTGATCGACTTAAATAAATATTATGCGCAAACTTCAACTGGAAATATAAATACATGCTCACATACACAACCCTACAATCCTGTAGCAGGCAATGAAAAATGAATATATTGAGCAAACCTTATTTTGAAACTTTTTGAAACAAAACACAGTGTGCAAAGATAACTACAGATTTGCAACTGAGCAGAATAATGCCCTCACAATGACAGCAAAAGGGCACAAAGCATGTCTGCAAGGGAAATTTGGGTATATTTCTCCTATACTCCAAATCATTACTCCTGTCATGAACAAATTAAATTTTGGAAGAGGTTTGTTATTTGTTTGGATATACACATAATAAATTATATAAATAAGTATTAATAAAGGGTACATGGTTACATGTTCTGGACACTCAAAGGAGGTGACATTTGACTTTGAAATACTGATCTATAGTTTTAAATATGATTACTTCAGATAGTGTTAAATTTCTCAGGGAAATTTAAAATTGGAGATACAGAAATTGTGTCAGATCAAGTGTGTGCACATACAGAAGTATAGTGGGTAAATGGATTTTACTTGGGAGTAGCAAATACAAGTAAGGACAGGCATGTCTCAAAAGTATTTGCACGTACAACTCTCAAACAGTTCCCAAGTCCTTAAGAGCTGTTGCTGGTAGTCAGAATCTGAAGGAACAGAGTATATAGACATAATTCATGTCCTTGTCTGAGGGACAAGAACAAGCAAAGTAATCAACTAAGTCATGTCATGTCATGCCCCTGTCGGAATCTGATTTGGAGGGGGAGGCCAAACAGCTGACAGGGAATGGGAGCGTGGCTCCATTGGCTGTGGAAGAAATGGGGCAAGGGCACAGTCCGGCTGGGCAGAGCAGGGGAGAGGTAGATCAAGGCAGAGGGAATTCAGAAGAAGACCCAGGCCCACCCCCCCATCCCAGGGCATGCAGGGAGGAACAGAGAAGGGAACAACGTGAATTGCATGGCTTACAGGGAGAGGAAAGGGCCCTGATTCCCTTCATTAGCTGTAGCTGGGAACACAGTGTTTCAAAAGGGAAGCTGCGCGCAATAAGTTGTTGGGAGCAAATTGTGAATTTATCTGGTATCGTTGTGGCTTATCTGTGGCGTCTTTCCAACTGTGTGAGTGTTGCCGTGCTTTCAAGTCTGAAAGTCTGAAAGTCTTTCTCCTGCCCTGTCAAGTTAATTACTGCAGCTTTGTTTGTTTGGATTTTTGGTTACAGTCTGTATGTACCTTGTTTTGGACTGAATTTTCTACAGTTAAAGTCTGTTCCTGGGAGAGTTTTTCTCCAGCCAAAGGTAACCTGGATATTGGGGGCAAATTTGGAGATAATAAAGGGACTCTTCTTACTCATTTGACTGTGTTGCCTTTGTGCCACGTCCCGGGTCATCACGTGTCAGAAAGAAATAGTGTTTCCACAAACAAGTTTTCAGGAAGTAAATGAAAGAGTATTGGAAGAGTAAATGAAAGAGTAAATGGAACAGTTGTTCCCAACAAAAGTTGCTGGGCAGTGATGGTTCTTAAATAGAGCTTGCTATCACCACAAGCAATCAAGATCAGGAACATAATAGAAGACAAGACATTACACAGAATGCCTTGTGCTGCTTGGTGTTTTGAGAGGGAGTCATGTATTCCATCCCTTATCATCTGATGCTGCCAGGTAATCTGCATATTCCTTATCTCCTTCAGAGTTAAGTGCCTCATTGCTAGGTTCTCCTTGAGGGTGGCATTCACCCGGAGGACTCTGGAGTAGCACCCAGCTTTTTTCTAGCATTCATCTGGGCCACCAGGAGCAGCTGAGACTCTTTCCAATTTGAGCTGTCCACAACAATACCATCCATTACCTGAAACACTCAAAGTTATGTTTCATGGTTGCTAAGGTTCAGGTTCCATGAAAGAATTATCACTGCTGACAAATTGCAATAAGTTATGTTGGAATTTCGATTAAGAATTTGGAGGCAGTATTAGTAACAGCATTGTGCCAGTAAAATGGTGAATAGCTGTCATTTAGACTCTCTCAGAGGATCCTAATGAGTAAATAATTGTTTTATTTCCTGTTATATAAATGCCAGTGGCAGGATGTCACCCTAAATTTGATTTATATTTTGAAGCTGATGCAGACCTGTGTGTTTTTTCTATGACCCAGTCTAAATATGATAGAAACAGAGTCTAAAACTGAACTTTAGGGTAATATTAAAAATGACTAAAATTGTAAAACATTTATAAATAAAATTTTTTATAAAAAACATTTCAACCAATCTATATGTATTTATTTTCAGTTTTACCACAGTTTATGCGTAGTTGGAATTATACAGGTTTCTGGAAGGTGAATTGTGTCATGACTTTTCATGAATCAGCTGTCTTACATATCCATTATACTCTTTGAAATTATGAGAGATGAAAGTACATCCTGACAATTCTGGTTTTATTTTTAAAAAACCACAAATTTAGCTTGGTACACAACACCATAATATTCCCATTTCATCACATTATAGTTATCCTCTCTAACGTATGACTCAGACATAATTTGGTATGTGAACGCCTGTTCCATGACTACATTCAAAATGTAAACTATATACTTCATACCTGTTTTGGGTAAGGACAGCATATTCATACAACATAAATTTCCTTTCACATGTTTCATAGTACTGCTCTTTTTATTGTTTTTGTGGGGCTTTAAGACACAGACTCCACATATGTCACAGCATTTACTTTTGAATAGTTTTGCATAACCCAGCTCTGTGCTGAAGAAGCTTCTTGGATGAGAAGCAAAATGTCTTCAAAGAAAAACCAGAAAGTCCAGTTGCCTCTTGAAAAAGTACCTTTGGGACTACCATTTGCCATGTTACAGAAGCGATTTAACAAGGTAGGAAAGCAACATCCTGCATAATTTCCTCAAAGAGCCTGCATGTTTCAAAAGTGTGGTGTCTCTTCTCCTGGATTTTCACTTTGGAAGCTTTGATGGTCAATTTAACATCAAACAAATTAGTTTTCCTGCTATTTGAATAAAGGGACCTTCTACCTGGGGATGACAAGCTATGTAACCAACTCCCACCTTTATTATATGACAGATCCTTATTCATGCAGAATATATTGTACAACAGGGGTGTCAAGCTCAATTTCATTGAGGGCCACATCAGGGTTGTGTGTGACCCTGAGGGGGGGAGCAGGATGGGTGTGGCCAGGATGGGCATGGCCAGCTTGACTGTGGTGGCCCGAGTGCTCTGCCAGCGAAAATGGCCTCCCGAGCTCCATTTTTGGCTGCGACAGCCTCCTGCAATCCTCTGCCAATGAAAACACAGTTTGGGAGGGCCACCTGTGGCCCTCGCATGCTCTGTTTTCAGCTGCGATGGCCTCCTGCAACCCTCTGCCAGAAAAAAGAACTCCATTTTGGCTGGCAGAGGCACCACGGGACCTTGGGCCTTGAGTTTGACACCCCTGCTGTACATCCTAGTGTAGTTACTCTGAATGTGCCCAGACATGTTACTGACTTCACTTTGGAGGGTATTTTCTAAATGTCTGCAATAATTATAAGGCCTTATGTTTGCATAGTTACAAACCTATAGTCAAATGTGTGCACAAGGGCATTTAAAAAAAAATACTGGCCTTTGTTTTTCTTTAGAAAAGCTCAAAATAGAGTTGTGTTCATTTTTTCATACCTTGATGAATGGAGGTTCATGTGCATGTTTTCAATTAAGCTTTGCAAAACATGTGCATGTATTTTAATTTTTTGGGTGTGTGTGTGTGAAATCTATTATGTAGTTTTAAAAGTTCTATTTTTCCTGTATTTAAAGCTGGTTTTAAAAAAACAAGAAAAATAAAACTTCACTAGGGCTTAGATATTTCACAAATGGTCAAAAGCAGTGATTTCAAAATTAAGGTTTTAAATATAGCCATGCCCAAGGCCAGGGGTGTCAAACTCTGTTTCATTGAGGGCTGCATCAGGGTTGCATTTGACCTTGGGGGGCTGGGTGTGGGCATGGGCAGGGTATGCGTGGCCGGCTCAATGTCACTCATGTTGAGGGTGCCTGTGGCGGCCCGAGCATCTGCCAGCAAAAATGGGCTCCCGAGGTCCATTTTCAGCTGTGACGGCCTCCTGCAACCCTCTGCCAGCAAAACGGATCTCAGAAGGGCATTTGCAGCCCTCCCAAGCCCTGTTTTCACTGGCTGAGGCACTGTGGGCCAGTCCTTTGCTGTTTCTAGGGCATCCCCGCGGGCCAGATCTAAGCACCCCGCGGGCCAAATCTGGCCCATCCGGTCCATGGGCCCATCCCTGCCCTAGGCTCTAGATCATGCTCTATGAGAGCATGTAAGTAAAGGGTTATGTTAAATATCTATAGAGCTGGCAAGCCTTTCCTGGCATCATATCTAATAGATTTTGTAACCTGATGCTATCTGCACTAGGTGGATATTTACCTTTACTCTGATGATGTCACTGAGCAAATGACCAGCATAGCTCTAGTTCCTTATACTGTAGGTAGAACTGACCTTTCTGATATATGACAGGCATCAATTGGGATTTGGAAGCAGTATTTCTTCTGGTGATCCCCACTTTATGTCATAAGCTTCCTCCAGAAGCCAGATTGGCACTAATTGTGTTGCCCTTTTGTTAAGTTGCAACATGGGGTTGTTTAATGGGCTTTTGCAAATTGATATTCATTTGATAATATTTATCCTTTTTATGCTGAATTCATATTGTGATTTTTGAAAATATATTATCATGTTACCATTGATAGTTTGCAGAAATATATGATTTTGTCAGTACATAAATGAAAAGGTAAGATGTATCAAATCTGCAAAATTCTAGAACTGTAATTTCTTTTCCTTCACATGAATGTAATATGTGAAAACAGGGTACTGGTCTTGTAAATTCGGATTTGGAATAACACATCACAGGCTAATAAAAGAGATTTTATACTACTTGCATGCATTATGGTGGTCGATATTTAAGGACAGTATTTTATCTCTCTGGATATTTTGCAAAAAGCTTTATTCGCTTCAGAAATTATTATGGAGAACAAGTAATAAACATATGTTGCAGCATTTCAGATTGTAATGTGATGATTGATATATTATTTGCTTAAATGTCAGGATCCACTAGAAATAAAGAACAATCCCATAATTTGTGACAGTGATTAGAAAACAGAATGTTGTACTTAATTGCTTTTAATAGAGAATGAAAATCATTTAGTTAATGAAACTGCTATGAGGGATGTAAATAAAGTTCCCTTCTCTTTTCCATATCATTGTTCAGGAGTTTAGATGGTGGGAAGACATTTGGCACTATAGATGTCAGATTTATAAACATGGGGAAGACTGAAGATGAGGAATCAAATCAGATCACAACAGATGGAAAGGAACAAAAGATAAAAACCCAGGTCTGTTCACGAATTAAATTAGAATTATCAATTATTTCAAAAACCTATATGAAAAGTGTGTAACTTTCAAAATATCCAAAGCTGTTATCTGGTATAGAATTGTAACATATATAAGCTAAAAGAAAACAACTTTAAAACAAATGAAATGTACCTAGCTTGGTATAAATTGGGCTGCTATCCCATTTCTCCCCACTTCTACTTAACATAGAAATGGAGCAGATCATTTGAAAGATGTTTTGTTATTGTTAATAAAAAGGCATGTAACCTCTTTATTTTCTTCTGCTCTCATTTTGGCTCATCCTAGACTCATTTTGAAATACTCTTATCACTCTTCCTCTACAAGGAATAGTGCTATGAAAACAAGGGAGGCCATTTTAATCCTCCGTTTAAGAATTGGTATTCTAGCCTTTGCTTCTTTTAGGAAAGGATTTCTTTAAGATGCATTTCTGTGATTGACAGACACGATGGCGAGAAAGTTATAGCTAGTTACTTTTCTCAATCGCTATATTAAAGTTCCTGGATTGAAACAATAAGTTCTGCATGGGTGCAAATATGTTTCTTTTTGCTACTGTAAACCAATTTATTTTGAGACAGTTTAATTAGAGAAGTCATTGCATCAAGCCTAGCATATTGATCTATGGCCACACAAGTTAGAGTACTTATTTAGTCAAGGACTTTCAAGCACAGTCTCTTTGGTGAACAAAAATCAGGCTGAATATATGAGTTTGCCAGAGAGAAAAGGAGGGAGAGGGAGGGAGGGAGGGGAGGGAGTCTGGAGAGTGTAAACCAAAATGAAAATAACCGTGTTTAATAATATGTATTGCCCCCTTCCTGGTATGGGAGGAATTGGTCTTCTCTGGGTGCTGTGTAGCTTCCAGCTATTGCTCAAAATCATGAAAAATTATGGATAACATTGGCCAAAGGAAAAAACAATAATTCTTAAGCACCTTGTGAATAAAGATATTAGTTTTTCTAAAGAGCCTTTAGTTCATGAAGTCCTCACTTCGTAAGAAGTTAAACATTTTTTCCACTCAAATTTGCAACAATTTTGACATTTTAAAGATACCAGAGTAAAGAAACAGTGTGCACTGTGATATTTAACCAGGGTCGTATATTATCCTGAATATAGTATGATTGCTTTATAACTCTTATTTTTACTTTGTATTATGAATTCTTGTTTACATTCATTAACTTTATCTTTCAGTGTGCCTTGGTTTATTCATGTTCATCTCCAGAAAATATAATTTATAAAGATAATTTACCATTATTAAATGCAGGTATGTACATTTAATTTATAATGGTGAGATTAGTTAAATGCCTAATGCTAACCATAGTATTGAATTAAAGGAGTGAGCTAGCTTCAGGCTCATATGATTTCTGCCAGCTTCTGGTAAGGTGTATATGCAAATGTTTTGCTTATTATACAATCATCTCCACAGATATGCAGTTACCCTGGTTTTTATAGCTTCTGTAAACATCATCTAGAATTTCTTTTTCGGAAACAGTAGGTCCTATCACAGCAAAAGAGAAATCATTTGAAACTGTTGGAAAATGTATTCATCTTCTGCATAAATTCTATGAAATCATCCATCCATTTTCTCTGCTGGTTTTACATTGAAGGCCAGAATTGTACTTAATGCGTATTCGTATAATCTGGAATGTATATGATGATGGATGTATAGATCAACATATTAGCATATAGGCAGAATTTTTAACTTGAGTTCCAGTTTAAACCAGTCAAGTTTTCTGGGTCAAAGCAAAATTTTCCAGCAACAAAGGTAAATCACTGAGAATTTCAAGTATGAATTTCTGGCAGAGCTCTGTACTTCCAACACTACTCCCTTGGATACTTGAACTTTTCCCCTGAAGTGTCTTTGTTGGATAGTGATTCAGTGATCTGTTCCTTATCCAGCCTATTATTCGAGACACCATTAAGATTTTTTCCAACAAGATAGCCTAAATCATTTGGACAGTGCATTTAATCAGAGTCACATGATGAATGTGATAAAATGTGTTCTTTTATATAGACAACAGACATTCAAGTGACTTATGGAATATATGTGCATGCACATACATACAGTACACCTGTTTAACTTCTATATCTTGAACTGTTCACTGTATCCTTTGCAATTCTGGATAGAAAATGAGGGAATGGAAAATTGAGGATTATAAAATATTTCATGCTGGAAGACTATTATCTTTATTCTTAAATATCTTCTTAGTGTATGAAGCCCAAATCCTTTATGAATTTTGAAGCCTTCGTTGGGAAATAAGCATGAGAAATAAGAATAATTATTAATATAATACTAGTATATTGCCCAATTTGTTTTTTGATCTAGCCTTTCTCAAAGGACTGACTTATGTACATGTGTTTTATTTTATTTTCATTTTAGAAAAATCAAAGTCAAGCAGAGAAGGTTCCATAAGAATAATGACCCTATAAAGGAAATAAGGGACTTTTCTTAATATTTTGACCTTCTAAAAATTAAGTTTCTTTTTGTTCTTTACTAGCAAATTATCTTTATGAGATACATTATTAGAGCCACTAATGCAGAGGAAATTTTAATTATCTCTGTTCAGAGGTTTTCTCTGAAGCATAGTGTAACTTAATATTTAATTTTGAATTGTATCTTCCATAATCCTCCAGACAACATAATAACAAAATTGAACACATTCGAATGCTACAGATTGGGAAAGGCAAGTTCATACAAATCACAAGTCTTTTGTTGCAAAGTTTTGATGGATTTATGAACAAATATTAATATAAAATGAAGTATTTCAATATTGGTAATAAAAGGAAATGTAAAACTGAAATATTAAAAACAATTAAAGTAGCAATTAAATGACAATAATTAAAGCAGTTAAAATCAGCAATGAAAAACAAAGGCAAAAGAATGTCTTTTAAAGTCTTTTTAAAGGCTAATAAATATACTAGGTCCCTCAGAAATTCAGGGAGTATTTTTTTAAACAGCTGGAAGGACATCTTACTTCCAAATCATGGCACCTGGAGGCCAATGTCCTCATAAGATCTCAGTAAATATGACAGTTCATATAAAAAGGGATATTCTATCAAAAACCTGAAGGACGTTTAATATAGTACATGATATTTTCCTGGAAATGAACTGTAATTCATTCAACTGTAAACACCTGAATTCAAGTGTCACTACTTTCCTGCTTTTCAAACTGTAAGTTTCACTTACTTGGGAAATATACACTGCAATATTTTTGGGAAAAATGTAAGCTGCAGTTAAGCAATCCCATTTCTCTTTTACAGTGTTAAAAAACCCAATCTGTAAATTATATACGTTCCCCACTTCTGACAACAAGTGGATGTATATACGAGAACAGATGTTTGAGAGCAATCTTTCTTTTCATGTTCCCAAGGAACTCATCAATCTACACATAAAGGAAGATCTCAAAAGGTAAGTGAAATGAAAAAGTTTTTAAAAATGTGCTGTTAGAATAGTTTTTTAAAAACTGCTAGTAGAAATTGGCCAAATATTGATTATAGTAATCAACTAAAATGCTAGGAATTCAAAATTCCAGTCTGCTTCTCCAGTGGAAGTAAACTGGATATAATGTAAAAGAATCAAACTGTTGCTAAGGGGCCACAACAGGCCTTAGAGCTGAGGCAAGTTGCAGCTAAAGCAGAAAATATTTTATAGCATTTCCTGCCCTGGAGAACCCAGTGGCCTACCTGAACAGTGGTAGGTGTGGCCAATCCAGATCTGAAATTGCTTTAGAGATGCTTTACAGTATTTTCTGAATTAGTATTGAGCAGGGAAACATCAGGACTTCATCAGGATTTCAGGAAGCTTAATCACATTATTCTAACCAAACATATTTGATACGTTCATATGTTACAAGTTAAGTTTTTGAGTTAACTGGTCTGATAATCAGACCATTAATATTAAGGGTAGTTTAAACTTTAATGTATTACTTTCCTTATCTTTTTATTATACTGATATTACAAATAAAAAAAACATATAGATTTTAATATCACATATTTTGAGGATAATTGAGGATAAATAGCTAACTTCAGCCGCTTTTATATTGTAAATAAACCTTTGTCTAAAATTCATTTCAGCAGGTCCATATTAATATAATAAATTTCATTGATAGTTTTTCAGGATTTTGCTTAGGTATTTTGCTTATCTATGTATTGATTTTGGATGATTATTTCATCTCATACCCATTTGTTAAAAAGAGCTACTTATGTAAAAAGTACATACTTGTAAAAATGTTGAATTCTGAGTAACCATTCTTTGAATTAAGTAAAGCAAACAAAAGGAAAAGAATACAAATAGATAGGTACATAAAATAAAATAGAATAGAATTCTTTAATGGCCAAGTGTGATTGGACACACAAGGAATTTGTTTTGGTGCATATGCTTTCAGTGTACATAAAAGACACATTTGTCAAGAGTCAAGAATCATAAGGTACAACACAATAATAGTCATAGGTACAATAAGCAATCAAATCATACTAGGAAACAGTCAATAAAAATCATTAGGATACAAGCAACAAGGTTACAGTCATACAGTCATAAATGGGAGGAGATAGGTAAAAGGAAGGATGGGAAGATTAATAGTAATAGTAATGTAGACTTGGTAAATAGTTGGACAGTGTTGAGGGAATTATTTGTTTAGCAGAGTGATGGTATTCGGGGAAAAACTGTCCTTGTGTCTAGTTGTTCCTGTGTGCAGTGCTCTATAGCATCATTTTTTTTCTCCTTTTTGATACATATCACGGCAATCAAAACTGCCTACACCTTCAACTAAAATCCAAGTTTAAATACATTTAGAGGAAACATTAGCACTTCTAGATTTAAACCATAGGTGCCTGCAGGTAGAAAAAAAATAAAGGCACCCAGAATTGTTATTTTATATGTATTATTAATTATGCAAATATCATAACTTGCAACAGACATTGAGACACAACTACATAAAGGTAGAATTCACATCAATTCATCAGCACATGTATTATCATTCTGATGTAAAGTTGATTTGTTACAGAGCCCCATGCTAACATATTGCTTAAATAATTCAAGAATGAAAGTGCTAAGTAGAGATATTTTTTTCAGCAAGAACCTTGAAATTTTATGGGTTTTTTGCATATTTAATGCTTAAAATCCTAATAATCTCAAAATGTATTAGAATTAGCAGTACAAGTATATTATTTTCGGCAAGCTTTCACCAACCATAATATCTAACATCAAGGAGAAAGATAGTTATGTAATTTAAAACATTTAGCCTGAATTAATATATGTTAAAATCAAATTTCACCCAGCACAATAGGAACTACTGGAGTTTTCTATATTCAATGGAATCAAGCTGTTGTAGTTCTAACAATAAAAGTTTTCCATATGTTTTCATTTAATACTGATATGAATTCTGTTTCAATTATGTCAGTCTCCAGAGTTAATAGGAAGCTGGCAATTTGCTAAAGGATTTCCTTTTGTAATTTTGTGAATTGACTATCTTTTATCAGCCTAACATTTTCACTTAGCAGGTGCACTTGCCAAGATAATTAACCCAGACAGATATATCCTGGTAGTACATATTAAAAGTGAAAGTAAGATTTTCTTTAAGTGGTGTGTTTAAAAATTGAAAATGTGAATGTGCCATTCTCATCATTCAAGTCAAATAATTTTAATTGGGGAATTCATTATTTGTTGACTTTTGGGGTTTTTGTTTAATGATGCTGGTGGGTTTGTTTTAGTTTCATATTTTTCAGTACAGCATATTTTTCAATATTAAACAATGTCGATCATTGCGGTAAATGCAGATGGAAACCAGCTTATTTTCACATAAAAGCTGGAGAACACGATTAGAATTGCAAAAATTGATAAGATGTAGATGTTAAAAGATAACACCATCAAATGTTAATGTAAATGGAAGGACATTTTCATGGATATTAAGAGATACTGACTTGAGGCTTCCATTTATTTTATTTGTATTATATTTCTTCAAATATATTTCTATATTTCTGTAAATCAGAGAAACAACACATCAACATTTGTGTATGTAAGATGGTCTAGCAGCCTTTTAGAATGTAGATATTTGGAGATTTTCATTCTTAGAATTCTTAGCCATTCTTAGCAAGACACATGAAGGATGCCAGTTTAAGAAACCTTTTCTATGATTGCCTAGACTCTAGCATTTCCTTACCCTATTCAAAGATTCTCTGAATTAACTGAATCCATTTCTTTGCAAAAAAAAAGTACTTTACTGATTAGGCCCAGGATAATATTATATATAAATAAGAATGATAAAACTAGCTGTTATACTGTAGCTGTTTAACCACTTAATTTGTACTAATATTCTTGTAGTATTGGATTGATAAAATAAGTTTTATTGTTATTTTGCTACAGGAATCAGGACCTTAAAGAACTTGGGGAGCTTTCTCCACATTGGGACAATATGCGTAAAAATGTTATTGCACACTGTGATCAAATGTTGATCCTGTACCAAAATATGCTTTCAGAACTTGGAAAATATACAGGTCAGAAAATATTTAATAATTAAACTTATGAATTTGTGGATTTTTATTCTATACAAGTATATAGTAGAAACCATGGGTATATATGATCTTTTCCTTTTCTCTCAAATTTATGAAAAAGTAGTTACAGTATTTAATGTATGATATTACTTGAATGTAAGATTTCTCAGAGTCTAGATCAGGGTTTTTCAACCTTGACTATTTTTTGAACTTTAACTCCCAGAATTGTGAATTTGTCCACACATCTTAAAATTGCCAGGGTTGAGAATCACTGGCCCAGATGATAACAAAAATCTCTTGTTTCATTCTCTGGGCATCAGGATTGCAGAAATACTGCCAGATCAGGGCTATTTAGCTAATGATAATGATTTTTTAATCTACAAAATCTCTCCATTTTATCAGTTATTTAATAAATAGTTTTCATAATTCAGGAATTCAGAATTGAACTCCTGGAGTGAGCAGCGAGCCTGCATTCTAACCACTGTGCCACCATGGCTCTTAAATATTAAGAGTTGTTGCTGTTTGTGTCTATATTATTCCTGACTTAGTTAATTTGAGCTATTTATCTGTATCTTATTCCTTCTACATCAAGATTTCCAAAACACTTATAACTAATTTCAATTATGTCTTAGAACAGAGTTATTTCAGGTTTGCTATATTGTAATGGCTGAGTTCTCCATAGTTGAGGAGAGCAATAGAGAAGTATTGATCAGGATTTTTGCAGACATTTTGCATTGAAAATTCTAGAACATGGAGCTAGGAGATGGGCATTGATCTCCCAAAGCCAAGAATATCCAATTGCTAAGTAAAGTCTAACTACAGTACTTGACTATAAAATGAGAATGCTACAGACTTTTTTATGATTATTGCAGTGGTTGTTTTCATGCATTTATTTCTAGGTGAGAATGGTTTTTTGCTATAAAAGTTGTTGTTCCTTCATTTCATTTACTTCTAACTTTACTATTTATAGACACCACTTCCCATAAGAGGAGAGTGTACTTTAAGTATTATACATCAGATAATACTTTAAAAAGTCTTTAAGATGCCACAAAGTTCTTTATTTTTACTAAATATATATAATAAATATATCACCATTGTCAATAAAACCATATATTAATTAAATATGCTGGTATATGGCCTTAATAACATTTTGATTGGTTGCTATTAATTAAGGTGGGTGGTTAGTCCTCTGGCTTTCAATTCAATTGTAATTGTATCAATTACAATAGTGCAGATAGGAAATTTCCCTTTATATTTCCTAAATTTCTCTTCCATTTCTCCTATCCAGATCATATCTGAATATCTTGTAGATATTGTGGATTTGGACATCACAGAATTCCTATGGTGTGAACTCTTACAAATTGAAATTAGAGCAGTATTCAGATTAAAAGAGAAAAATGTGATGTGGAGCATGATAGTGCTGTCATATAGGACTAATCAGCAATTCTTTAAAGCAGGTCTCTTTTCCTGAGATTGCCTGTGTGCCAACTGAAGCTGCAGCACAAAGATTTTTGACACCCAAAAATGTTACCAACAATATCTTCAAAACATCTTCCTAGATTTTAAGAAAGAAAAGACATCTGGATCCTAAGTTAACTATATTTTATAATTTTTTTCAGGCTCTTCTTTCAAATCAAGTTGTAGTAAAGGAGAAAAAACACTAGAATTTGTTCCAATAAATCTACATCTGCAGAGAATGCTTGTGCAGGGTCCTTGTATAAAAGGTAGGCTGTATGATGTTATACAGTTCACTACCTAATTAACTTCAATCATGAAATATCTTTTTCTTTCTTCTCTATTGGTTACACTTTTAGACTTGGGTATTTCTGCTGTTGAAAGGTACAGAGCTGTATATAAAATTGTGTCCATTCTTGAAAAACAAGTGACTGTTAATTCTGTTCCCCCTACCCCTGCCACTATTGTCCTAAAAGTTATACATGAAAGTTTTATATTTCATTTATATTTGTATATCTTTATTCATTTTCCAGATACATGCCAAGTGTAGTTTTAATTATGGAATTAGTTTCAGCTAAGGCCTGATTTGGATGTATATTTTTAAGTTTGCCGAACTTAAAAAGTTTATTGAAATTACTTTTGACAGATAATTATTTATTCAGCTGGAGGATTTATAATTATGTAGCTCATGGGAGTTTTATTATAGATATGTTTATTGCTATTGTAAGCTGTCAGGAATTGGATAGAATGTACATTTAAAAAAATAACAAAACCTGGAAAAAATCTTAATATTATATTATCTTTATTTATGGCCAAAGATTAAAAGTAAATTACAAACTCATATAAGGAAGGATAAAAGATAAGAACAAAAAATTAAAGCTAAAATAATTTACTTTAACATATCAGTATAATTTATCTGGTAAAAAAGCTGCAGATTAATGGATTCTCCCACAAATTCCTAATGCTTCTGCTGCTAAAAGACCATCAGATATTTAATTACTATAAATTCAACATGCAAATAAAACCATGGGGCAATAGCAGATCCTTTACATTGGCCGCTCTAGACATTTTAAATCAAGTATCCAAGATTTGTGCCATTGTTTATACTACTAAACAGAAACTGATTTCAATTCAATTTACGGAAAACAAAATATAATTTAAGACAGAGTTAAAATACATTTGTAAAGTAACGTACTAACATCTGTAAGCTCCAGGGTGCAACCTATATTAAATTATAATGTAAGGACTAAAATTATATTAAATATAATATGTAAAATTACAATTTTACAAGTAAAATATCTAAAATAATATCAACAAAGTAAACAGATTAAAATTAAATTGTTTTAGTGGACATTGAGACAAGTCAATTGTAGCAGAATTTTTAAAGTCTTACTAAGATGTTTACATATCTGTTTGCATTGTGAATTCTTTGATTTATTTACCTTATATATTATCCTTGAGTTTTTAGTGCTGAAGTAATATCTGTAATTTACTGTAATGAACATCTTATGATATAATGCAGCTTACATGTGATATTTGAGAAGACTGAAATTCACCAAGTTTATATGTGTATTTTTTATTCCATTGTTTATTTTACTGGAAATTTTCTTATTATTAGACTGGTGAGTCTGAAGTACAAAAAGACATGTTTCCTATTGTAGCCAGAACATCTGGGTGCAGTACTATTTATTGAAGCTGGCTATCTTTCTTGGTTTTAAAGTTATAACAGAAAATGTTCAAATGGTTTCTGAAATAGATAATTCTAGGTTCTGATGATTAAAAGTATACTATTATCTTTTTGTAATCTTGAAGTATTTTATTATTTCCATTTGTCTCTCTTATTTTATTTACCCATTTGTAATGTTTTTAATGTTTGATAACTGCAATTCTTGAAATAAGTGCTTAATTTAATGCACTATGAGGAATAAGGGGTATCCACTATACCCAAATATCTATTAAAAGGCAAATGGAAATATATGCATGCATAAAATGATGTTAATACATGCATAGAATGCATGCAATGCATGTATAAATAGTTTTTATACACTGCATCCAAAATTCACTAAACAGAAATCTATTAAACCAACTGCATGAATATTAATACAATGTTAATACAATTTTTGTTTTGCTTTGTAATATACAAAACAAAGATTGAACAAATAATGTATTATATGTATGAACAGTAAAGCAAATTACTAAAACATTAGGAAGAAAAATTCAATAGAGGTGGTTCCAGTGAGTAATGGTGAACTGATATCCTGTGTGTACAGTGGGAGACATTACAGTCAAAAGGCAGATAGATACTCCATCTGGACTGTTAAAAGTTATCTCTGGAGCAAGGAAAAATTGTGAGGTTACCCATATGTAAAAAACACAACTGGAGTTTTTTTTAAGAACACATACAGAAATTGACATTTTTGCTAATTATGGCAAACAGCTGAGACTCATAGGATTCAGCAAATTCAGAGCCATTGATGTCCCCTTTTATGGACTCAAGGCTTGACCAAACCTCATCCTTTTTAATCATTTTGGAATTTCCTTTTTTACTGCTTGTTAAAGATTAAAAATCTTTTAAAATAATGGATTGCTATTTTTGATGATATTTAATTTTTTTTCTGATTGGAATTGAACTTCAACTATTTAAACAGATACCACATATTTGAAGAAATACAGAATATGTTTAAATAGAAATGAAGATCCAAATATTAAGTGAAAGATTCAAACTGAATGTAGATAAAATTGATAATACATAGTATTTCTGATAACCCTTCCTGGATCTTTGCTGATTAATATATAGAAATGAGGTTTTAGATATGGGCCTTTTTTAAAAAAAAAAAACAAGTTTTATTAATTTTCAAAACACACAAGTCATCATTATCCATTACATGTTTAAACCTTTTTCCATTATAAATTTAACAAGTCAGATAAACTATAATTCTGTTTTAAACCATTTCCATATAAACATACAAAAACCTCTTATCCAATTTCCCTTTATTTCTCTTTACTCTTATTCAATTTTATTATTATTATTTCATCTACTTCTTTCTGACTTAGTTACCATTATTCTCATTCTATATTTCTACAAGGTTTTATTAATTTTCCCCCCAAAAAAACAACATAATCACACAACACACAAAACATAAAAAAGATCTTTTTGGAAAGTAACTTGGACCCAGGTATCTCTCTTTTCATGGACTTCAATTATATTCAGGCTCATCTTACATATCATTACTTATTTTATTTACCATTCTAAGTCTTCTATATTAACTTCTCCACATATTTCACTCTTCTTGATTCTATCTTAATTAATCATCTTAATTTGAGTCATTATATTTATATCTTTTGTCCATTCTCTATTATACCTTTGTCTCATTCCTTTTAAAAAAAAAGAAATTTCTCCTGAAATCACTAATCAGAGTATGATGCCTTTCTATCTCCCCACTAAATTAATCAAATTAATCTTTAAAATACCCAATCCGATTTTGCTTGGTACATTCTAACTGAATAATACATCTAAAACAATTAAATACATAGTTAAGCAATAGATTTAAATATTAAAAACAAAATACTATAATGAAAGTTTTATAATAACATCAATACCATAATCTTAATAAACTCTTTAATTAAAGTTTAATATTCTAAATCTCCCCTCATATTATATTTTCAAACCAATCATTATTAACATTCCAACATTTTAATCTCTTATCAACTCTCAAGCCATTTAAATTTTCTATTTCTGATACAATACTACAATATCATCTTATGTACCTTGCAAAATCTCTTTGAAGAAATTATACTTATCCTTTATCCCTAAAAAAAATTTCTTTTTTCTCATTTAATTTCAAAACTTTGTAGCTTTTCTCCACCTTTTCCCTTTCTTTCTTCCCCCAACAAACCTTTCTAGCCCCCCTTCTTCTAGCCTCTGCCTTACTGGCTTCCCTTCTCTGTCGTATTCCTCTTCCCTTTTGTTTACCATCCTTATATTGATTTTGCACCTTGTTTTTCCCTTTCTTAAATGTTTTTTTAAATCTTAAGTCCTTTATTTCTCTTCTTTTTCCTCTTCCTTCCCTCTTGGTCGAGTTCTGAGATTTATTAAAGATGGCTTCCTCTCTTTGTTCTTCTTCTGCTGTCTTCATCTGTTGCAATGTTTGTTGATAATTAATAAGCGCCATTTCTAAAAAAAGGAAGGCTTCTTTCAAACCAGCTTTACCATTTTGTTTTGCTTGCTCATAATCTTTTCTCAGTTCCTCGATAGAAGAAGCCATTATAAATCTTTTCTTTTCTTTTCTCTTACAACAGCCAGAATATTCCAAAGGAAAAATAAGACAATCCCAAAGTTCTCAGTCAGTCCAAACCAAGACAGAGTTCCCACTCTCTCCTCCTGGGGTAGTATCAATTAAAGAAAAAGAAAGTCCAAATCTGTTTCTTAAAACCTTATTACAATATATTTTAGTCTTTCAATCCTTAAGGCATCTCCTCCAACAAAGTCTTAGCATACAAATATTTTTTTTTAGTCCTCTCTTTTCCCACTCACCGCTTAGAGCCAGTTTTCACCTAAAAAAAATAAGTTTCTTAATGTTCACTTTTTATTCCGTAAAAAAAGAGGGTAAGCTATCCTTTCATCACCATTAAACTGCCGCTTTTTTCCTCTTCTCGAAGGTATCATTCAGAAAGTCATACTTTTCAGGAATTTTGTTAAATATGTCTTAGAGTCCTAGGAACCAAGAAAGACTTTCTCCTCTCAAGCACTTTCTCCACTTCCTCCTGCGCATTCTTACCCGGCTGCCAGCTTCTTTGTGGCGGCCATTACGCCACAAAGAAGCTTATAGAGAATATAAGGAATGGGATGAATAGCTGTTTGATTATATTTCAAGAGAATGATAAATCGGTAATGTTGATTAGAGTTTCTGCGGATGAAGGGGGAGGCTTCTTTTTCTAACTTTTCCCTCCCTTTTTTCTTTTTCTGCACTTTCTCAATTTTTTTAATGTATTTCGATAGTATGTAATTGTATTAATTTTATCTGTATAATGTTGTAATATGTAATAAAATTATTGAAAAAAGGAAGAAAATTGTATTATATGAAGCTAAGTAAATAATTACTAAAATAAAAGGAACCAATAATTGAGTCATGGTGCAGTGGGTAGAATACAATATTACATGCTGCCAGGAGTTTGATCCTGACTGGCTCAAGGTTGACTCAGCCTTCTATCCTTTTGAGGTTGGTAAAATGAAGACCCAGATTGTTGGGGCAATTGACATTGAAAACCGTTCAAAGAGTGCTGTAAAGCATTGTAAAGTGATGTATAAGTCTGTGTGACTGCTATTGCTAATAACTGTATTTGAAAAAGTTGTATTTTCTATTATCATTCCATGTAAAATTCCACATGGATTTTTTTTTTCCTTAAGAAATTTCTAAAATTGTCAAGAGGTAATGGTATCTTACCAGGATAAAGCCAATTGCTAAATATGTTCTTAATAACAAAGCATGATCACAATAACAGGGTGAAGAAGCAGGAAATATATTTGATTCTTTGTTTCCTGTCATAAGAATGTCTCCTCAGAATATTTGCTAGATGGGTTTGAACAATATAGTACAGTAAGCTCTTGACTTAGTTTAACAACTGGTGAAGAACAATTAAAATATAAGCAGATAAGACAATAAAAGAGGCTTTCTGGAGGGAAAGAAGCTCTAAAATTCAGAAGAACCCTGGAATGGTAAACCTGGTCACTTGCAGGTGGTTGGGAAATGATTGTTGGTGAAATGCATTTGTAGAGAGGCAAATTCATTTGTATTAGGACTATTACAACTACTTTTCATTGCTATAAGATTACAATGCATCCCTGTATGTACAATTTAGCATGTAATCTTTCTGTTGCAGATGTTCTTTATGATGTCATCACTGTGGGAGCTCCTGCAGCACATTTTCAGGGATTTAAAAATGGTGGTCTTCAGAAATTATTGAATAAATTTGAGGCAGAAAGACGAAAGTAGGTATACTGCCATTAATTTAGAAATACTAAATTAACTAATTTTGTATTGTATATCAACATTTCTCCTAAGGTTATGAAGATAGGGATTATCAACATTCTCTTTTTCCTTGCTTTTCCTAAGTGAGTATATCATAACACATTAACATGTATTTGTTTAGAAAATTAAACTTATATATCTAATTATAAAAAGTTATTTTCATTCTCCTAATTTTATAGAAAAGGAACTGAAAAACTATAAAAAATAAACATATAAAAGCTACTCTAAGAATGTAATTACATATCACAACATAATCATATGTACTTACAAAAAGAAATGAATGGAAGAGGGTGAATCAGTACAGTATATGTATATGTCATTCAGTTTCAGTCATAAATTCATCAGGGTGCAAAGTTAGATCATGCAATATAAGCATTAATTGTATTAATTTCTGGATACAATAAATATTTATGTTTTGGAACAAGATTATATTTGATGCATTTTATATATAGTTTTAGATATGAGTCATATATCATATTACAGGATTTGGAAAACTGTGAAGATTAGCTGCATTCTAAATTGTATATTGGCCTCAGAACATGATTACTTTAGTTCGCTTAAGAATGTGGTCCAAATAAAACCCAATCTCTTCATCTGTATGTTTTGAATTTTGAAAATGAACATTTATTTATTTCAAATAATACAGTTACCTGACTAAACAGCTACATACACACATACATAAGGAAGCACTACTTAATTGTAGAAAAATTATAAATAAAATAAGAGCATAATATGAGGCTAGGATAATTTTTTTCTCGTTTGATGACATATGGCCCCTTGGTTTTATAGTTATAGTATCAGTTTTATTAATTCTATTTGTCATAGCACAAGATTGAAAAACTGGAAACATATGTCAGGGTCCTGGTTAGACAGAAGCAGTGACAAATAGACATTATGCTTTTTACCAGGATAGCTCTTTAACATGGGATAAGGGTACCAGTATATCTTCCTTGATTCCTATAGTGCAAGCAAAAAAGGAGCATATGGCTTAGGAATTCTACAAAGCCATTTCCACATGGACGTAATCAGTATTGAAACGGGATATTTTTATACCATCCCCACAGATCAGCAGCGAATACTGCATCCATTCTGACCAAGGTGAAAGTCCAACAGAATTTCAGAATTAGAACTGTAGAGAGATATGATAATGGCATGTGCCTATTTGAGAAGAATCCATAAACTGTATAGTTCGATATTAGGTTTAAACATGATTGTCAATCAATATCCCAGTGCATTTTTTTTACATCCTGTTATTTTCAAACCCTAATACACAAGAGACTTTCCAAAGAAACGTCTAAGGATTGGAATTTGCTATTTTCTTTTTTTAGCCAGATTAGTTTAAAACAGACGTGTAGAAGAGTCAATTTCAACCAGAAAATAAGGTGATAGAACCAGGCTCTGGCACCCATAGAAACCAAACATATATCTAACTATAAAATAGCATTGAACCTTGAACTGTGAGTATTATTAGTATTGGATAGTATTTTGGATGAGCATAAGTATATGGAACTTACAATCAACCACACTTGCTCCTTCGGATCTCCAGACGGTTAATTCCCATTCAAGTCTCCTCTAACAGAGCTATTTAGTATGATCAGTTCCAGACTATCTATAAACTAGGCTCGTCAGAAGACTGCCATTTTACAGGTTTTGATTATCGAGCCCGTAAAGGGCAAGCTATTTCATTTGAGAGGAGAGACTAATTAAAATGAGTTTGTAAAAAAGCATCTGTCTCTCCAGTAGGAGCTGCACAGTAAAATTGAGACTGTAGTTCTTAAACTACTGTTCACAAGAAAGGACCTCGTGTAGGAAATGCTCACAGCCAAATCACATTTGTAAGGTGAGAACTCTCAATAAGGACACTACTAGCATATTTTGACTAAGTAGATTCTGCTTAAAGCAAGCAATTTCAAAGATAGTCAGTCTTCAAGCTACATAGGAATTTTAAAGTGATTGCCATCATCTTGACTTATACCAGAAACAAACCACCACCCAATGCATTTTTGCCAACATTTGTGTTTCATGGCAGTACTGGATTCTCCCAGTTAACGTTAAGGCCAGTGCATTTTGTACTAGTTTTATTTTCCTGAACAGGGCAGCTTTGAATGTAATTCTTTGTAATGTAGGGTCCATTGTAATAAGTCACCAGTGACAATGACCAGTTATGTTTTTGTCCCATGGCTGAAAAGGATCCAGACAATCCACTTCTTCCATAGCTGAATACTGTTGTTTTGACTACAGTGATTTGAATGTGCAGGACGGTGTGGTTCTCATCTCTCCATGAACATTTCTGGAATATATAACATCCTCATTTTTAAAATTTTGACTGAAAATTTATTTAAGAAAAGGTTTTACTTTTTTGTATAAAACTTTTAGGATTGCAGATTTTAATCTTTTTGGTGTTTTAAAAACATTTTACGTAAATTGTTAATGGATCATCTGGCAGGCTTTTGTTAAATTATTTATTTTCCAATAATTATTCTGACCCAGTCCTAATAGACTCTAGGCAGATAATAAAATAAATTACATCATATTAAATCAATAAATAAAATAGAAATACATAAACAAGGATCTCAGAAACAGCATACTACAGTACTTCCTTATGAAAAGCAGCTTGTTTTAGAAGATAAGATTTCAAAGGATAGTCCATGTGGAATGCCGACTATGTTGGAGAATCAGCAGCAAGGAAGTTCATTTATATTCTCAGTGCATCTGTTCACTACTTCCATACTTTATGTGTCCAAAATCAATAATTTGCTTTTCATTCAAATCTTTTTCTATGTAATTTCATAATGTCGAGCTCTACTTATCTGACCATTCTGAAATGTGTGCATAGAGCTAAAGACCAATTCCTCAATTAGAGGATACATAGAATTCCTAGCGGGGAAAAATGTAATAATATGTTAGTATTCAACTGATTTATTATAGCATTACCTTTCCTTGGCAGCAAACTTCATAATCATACATAAAGTAAATTGTTTGGACTTCATCTTAATTTATTTTGTATTGCTACCATATAGAACATTTCATCTTCACATAGAATGAATTATTTGTGTTTTCACTATAGAAAGATTATTTTAGATTATTATTTTTTTAAACCACATAATGTAGCATCATAATAGTTGAAGGCTTATAAATTAAAATTTATACAGCATTTCAGGGGTTTAAGGATCCATAAATCATTTTCAGAATACTGTGCATGGAATATTTTTCCCTCTCATTCAAAAGCTAATCAGATGAGATGCACTGAAGGAAAACTATGCAGGCTTCTGGTTATGAGGTTTTTAAATGCCCCATTACAAACCCAAAGGAATACAAACTATCCCTGAAGGCTTATTACAAAAATGAAGAACAAAAACCATGAACAAAGAAGCAAACACTGATTTGGGCTCAAGCTGCTATGCCTTAGTACTACAATTGGCCTCCTAAATCAGTAGAAAGTCACTAGAATGTGATTAAAGTTTAAATCACTGTAGAGTGATTTTAATTAATGAAGGTAATTTAAGCACACTTGGTTATTTTTAAAAAACAATTTCAATCTGCAGATACCTATACACCTATTACTGTAATAGGAAATTAAAATTGAAGTACTTTCCTTTAACAAACAGCTCAATTAAGATACACATCTTTGTTTAACCAGTCTATTTTACCACACATGAAAAGAGCCTGTTCTCCTTCCTATTCCTAATGCAATTATGAGGTTTATAGTTCATATGAAATAAAAATTCTTTTATTTAAAAATAACATTAAATTATTACTTACTTTAGCCAGAATTAGTGGACCAGAAAAGGCAGAAAGTGAGAAGGAGGAAAGTGGGATCTGCTCATGCTCCCAGATAGTTGAAGCATGGTTTAGGAAACCAGGAAACTACAGTCAAATTAGTCCAATGAATGTCAGTTTTTAGTGTTCCTTTTATTATGTAAATTGGCACAGTAAACTCTTGATTTAATTGGCTAATAGTAACAAGAATGACCAAATAGATCCAAATATCTGTTATATCTGATTGTATTGTGTACGTATAAATGGGGAATAGGATTTTATATAGGACAAAAGGCAAATGGATTTTAAACTCTTTGTAATGTGCATTTATATTAATTTATTCAATTAATGAATGAAATCAAAATTCTTACTTGATTAATATTGAGAATATGTATTTCCCTTTGAACATGTTTGAATGAAATTCTTGGAAAAGCTTCTGTTCATCATCTGGGAATTACAGCAGTGGAAGTCCAATACATTTGGAAAGATTTAGGTTGAAGAAAATTATCCTAAGCCAAAGCAAGTTTTCTTAGACTGAAAATTAATTAAATATTTCCCTGAACTGCTTTTATGTATTAATGCTAATAACATATTTTTATCTGCAACATTTTAATTCACTATGATTATGAACTTTCATGTATATTTTTCTTTTCCTATATTGGAGTGAGTAATCTTGTGCTTTTAAATGTCTGTATTTGAAATTTTTCTATTCTGCATTGTAGAGATATGTATTGTGCATCAAACTGACCCAAAAACATCTGTCACCTTCCAGTTTTTCTGCTCAATCTAATTATAGGACTTGTTGCCTTAGAGACCACTTGGCTCTATCTTTTAAACAGCTGGTTAAAATATATCCTTGCAGGAAAAAGCTTGGTAATCTCCTGGGAGAACACTGATCACAAAGTTCCATTCTTACGGTTTTCTTGAGGATTTATTTTACCTTGCTATCTGATAACACTGAAAGAACTATTAGACAAACAATTTGAGACTTGCATCTTCAAAACACAAAAGGCTAGATTCCCAGCATTTACATGATGGTGTTTCTAACATTTGTAACCCTGCCTCTTATCTCTTACTCTAAAATTATCTGAAGTATCTTGTGTCTTGGCTCAATATAATACCTTTCTATTACAAATACTGGAGTAATCCCATTCAAAATTGACTGTGCCAGTGTGGATGAGGAGATGCAGAGTTAATAGCCTATATTTTCCTCTTCTATTCTAATAAAGAAATTCAATGCATTATGAATTATCCAGAATGACAGGGATCTCACATCTTACATCTTAATGCTTTATCTTTGATAGTCCAAAAACCAAATATTTTCCTTAATACTGGTAATTTTTGTGATTTCTTCATGGCATAATAAGTGATCAAAAGTAAATTAATGTTTAAATGGGTTTTAAACCAAAGTTTTATTTTATCTAATTTATGTGGCTGATATTTTTACTTTAATAAATGCATTTTAATATATAGACTTTAATTTAAAAATGGAAAACTAGCATGGGCAAATCAAAATGGCAGTTTCATCCTTATTTTTATTTCAAAAAAGTTTTAAAGCTTCATATAGATCTCATCAATATGTCTAAACAGAAGAAAGATGAACTTCACTTATTTATATGAAAATTTGTCCATCTCCCATAGAACTGTAATAATTAAGTTGAGATTGATTAAAAACATAGGTGATGCAACTAAAGACTTAATGGGCAGCATTCATTGTCTTCTAATAAATGTACTCGGTCATTAGACATGTAAATTACCATAACAAGCATTTTGTGAATAGTAAAATCATATAATATACTATGAACATTCTGAATGTTTCCACTAGTACAAAATGATTGCCCACCATTGCTGAGTTGATTATAAAGTTGATGCCACACATTAGTTGTTTTTTATTCTATTGTAGTAGGTAGATAGGCAGATAAATTGGTAGATTAGAGATAGAGAAATAATGATATAAATTCATTAAAAAAAGCTTTCCAGTTATCTTCTGCTTTAGCTACTACCACCTATTCAATATCTCTTCCAATTGTTTCTGAGTATTTCAGTTAAATCCACTTGTCCTTTTTAATTTGTCATATAAAAAAGAAATAATAAATGGAATTGACCACACAGAATGAGGTAGCTCATCAATAGAGGAAGAAAAGCCAGGAACAAGAATCTTCCTTACGGCTATTACAAATTACTAAATGTTTTTGTTGGAGCTTGTTCTATATCTCAGTTTCCTTCACAATTGTCAAGATAAGGCATGTGTCTGCTTTGTTTTGATGTATTTCATAATACAATATACAACAGCTTATTCAGAAAACTTCAGAGAATAATTAATTTCAGTAACACCGCCAGTAACATTCATCAACAAAAGGTTATCATCTTTTACAAGGCCTATATTCTAATCTACAGTAAATTGAGTTTTAAAATAATGCCTATAAATGTGTGACAATAAATTTTATAATACTTTCCACGTTCATTATAAAACTGATGAAATCCTTCATGTACATAAAAATATTATCCAGCTATACTTTAAAGCTGAAAATAGTTATGACTTTATAATAAATTATTTGGTGTCATGTCTTACCTTGCAGTACTGGGTACCAATGTATTTATTATTCACCTGAAAACACTGCCAAGGCAAGAGAAGTTCTCAGTAACATCAATCAATTACAGCCTCTCATATCAAGTCATGCAGACATGTTACTTAATTCGGCCAGACAACAGTTGCCAGAAAGCTTGAAGAATTCCTTAAAGATGCTTTCAGAAACTGTAAGTTTCAAAAATAATCCCTCCTGTAAACTAGATTATCAGATGCCTAGATATTGCTTTGGTCTGTGGAATCTGTCTTCCTCTATATGAGGAACATTTAACTAGTTACAAGCTTCAGATAATTATCGTCTTCTCCTCTGTTTGGATTATTATCAAGCAATTTTATGGATATTAAACTTGATGCTTTTAATATAAAACAGAAAAGTCTGCATATATTACATTTTAACTAGCAACTGATGGATAATCATTACTATTTTTGAAGAGTGATAACTCTCATTTTCATATATATCATTATTAGTGTATCCTTCCCTCTTTATAATTTATTTGTGCCTGAAGTACTGTGGCATAACTATAAAAGAAGGAGAATTAAACTGTGATGGAGAAACAACTTTCAACCTAACTTTATAACTTTGAAGTACCGTTTATTGTTAAGCACTTTGCATATCCATATATTTTGTTTTATATCCATATATTTTGTTTTAAACAAATCTTGGCCTTTTCTGCTTTATCCATTAAACAGAATTTGACATTTTGAATTCAGACATCTTTTGGTCTATTGGTCTTTGGAATAAGGAAAAGACAAAATGCAGAGCCTCTAATATACTCCTTTGCCAGTAACTTATAATGACATGCATCATATTTTAATGGTATGAAATTATAAATTTGCATTTGAGATAATGAAAATTATCTGGACTAACAGTCATTGATAATCTCATGCCCATTCCCCATTAGTTAGTTAAAATCATAGTACATGATTTTTTTAAAAGTTCAGATATGTGTTATTGTAAAGGAAAACTTTGTTTTACAAGTTAGGAATGTCTTCAGATTTCCAATGAATATTTCTGAATTCTGAGCTCCAATTTTCATACATTACAGAAATTCACATAAATAAAATGAATTGCAGACTGACTAGGTTCTATTTCTGATTTTATCCTGCCAAACTATGTTTAAACTAAGTGAATTTTCTTAGCTACGGAACAGTGTACAGTGGCTTGGTTCACATAGCTCACTTAAATTTAGAGCCATGATTTATAAGCCATAATGACAGGGTTCACACAGCACATATCCAGATTCAACAAGCCTTATAGTGCTTAGCATATCATGAAAGCCAGAAGAGTATATTTTATTATCTTAGTTCTGAGACTGCATTACTTACCTTTTGTTGATTGCACACTCATCTTAATTTTAGACAGAGTTATTTGTGCATGCCTTTAAGGATCAGCTTATCAGAAGTGCCCTTTTAGCTTTATACACAGCCCGCCCTGGTTGTGTCTTAAAAAAACCAACTTTGCCAAGGAATAACACTGAAGAGAATAGCGAACAACAAAATCAGGACCATCCATCACAAATCAAGAGACAAGATTCCATACCTCACCACTCAGAATATGATGAGGAAGAGTGGGTAAGTAACCTCAAAATCTCATTTTTTCCCCTCTACCTTTTATTCAGTTGCAAATTATTTGTATTTAAAGAGTTAACCAGTTTAGTTATATCAATAATACTAGATTCTTTTGGCACTAAAGATTGACATATTTTGCATGAAAAATGTATGCTTCAGATATAATATACTTCATGTGATATTAAAGTAGATACTTAACCTTTATTATGCCTTAATTAAACTACATATTAATATTCAGTAAGTATTTTAACTTGAATACTGAAGTTTGCATTTTTTTCTGACACTAATTTATAAATATATATACTGGGAAAAGAAGGATTTCAGCAAGACTAAATACCTATGGTTCAGAACCGTGACAATTTCTTTTTCCAATGTAACATGCAGTATTTCAGTGATTAATAGTAATTCTGTACATTAAATAAAATACTTTATTTCATTACTACTTTCATGGTTCATCTTTACTCATTTTTATTCTTCTTGCATATGTCCTTTATAAGTATAAGGTTTTATAAGTATGAAGTTGGAGAATCTATTTTACACTTACATTTTTTGAAACATATGACTTAAAGTACTATGGCCTAACCTAATGACTTTCTGAAATAACATGATAACAACATAGAACAGTGGTTCCAAATGCAGAACAAGCGCTGATTGGGAAAAGCTGTCCTAGAAAATAATTTATTTATAAAATATTTTGGCTATCGAGAAAGTGTATTTATATGATAAAAATAATTTCACTGAAATTCAGTTTTAAACATTAATTTTTATTAAAAGTTATAGAAATCAAATCTTTATAAATATCCAGACACTTCTCAACCTGAAAGTGTTACCTTGTAGTTGAAACTAAAAACACACTTTTTCTTTTGCTCTATTTTCACTATGTTTCAAGCATAGTATTTTCATTTTAGACAGATGCCAAAATTTAATTTGTAAGATACCCTGAACAAAGTAGCATACTAGAAAATTCTGCCTATTTCTTCATTTTGTATTACAAAATTCTGTTTAGTGTTCAGTTGGAAGAGTAAGTACGGTATGTCCTAGAATACACATTTGTTTGATCCATTTAAGTCATGCTAATTCATTTTATAAAATATGGCCTGATTAGAAACTCTTAAGCATAACTATTCCCAATCCTCTCTCCCTCTTTCTTTTTCCATCAGCTACTGGACACATTCACTCTGCCTCATTACACCCATTTAAATTTAAGTCCCACTGAGTCCACAAATACACTAACATCTAGTATCAGATTTCAGGATTACATATCATCATTTTGGTTTGTCAGCCTTGCAAGCATCTCTTCACAATAGTTCTTTAAAGATGATCTGAATGAGAGCCACTACTCTGCACGGAGAGATTGGATGAATAACCATCTCATTCCAGGGCCTGATAAAATCAGGATGTGGAGTAAGGGGTGTTAAATAGAAGCATTTAGTGGAAGAAGCATTTAATGGATAAAAAATAATGGGAGGGAATTGCGGGAAGTGAATGTAGAGTAGACTGGTTTGAGAAGATTGGCTTACTTATCCCATAGGAGCATGGGATAGACAAGAAGACGTAGTTTGGGAGTAAGGGCAGGATTCTAGTGCAGCATTTTCTGCTGTGGAGAGGACCTGTGAGAAATCTGGGAAATAGAGGATAACAGGAAGATTTTTCGAGATACTTCTAGAAGATGTGATGGGAGGTATAGGGCAGAGTGTTCTAAGGGAAAGGTACCTTGTAGATTGGTTCTGGTCACTATTTTTAACTCAGTGTCCCATTCTAGGTGGCCAGATTGCCAAAAGCATTTGTTCTGTAAGTACCAGGATTATTGTTGGAAGACAAAGTGTTCATCCATTATTTGCCATAAATAAATCAGTAAACAGGCCTATATTATTCTATATGTCTCTTGGAGACTATTCGGAGACTGAAATTAATTCATAATGTAGTAGCCAAATCTAGTTAGTGAGAGCTGCTATATGAGCATAAACTAATATTGTAAGCTCTTCATTGATTACCAATTGGCTTCTGGTTACAATTCAGAATATGGATTTTGACCTCCAAAGCTTTATGTGGTATGGTTTCCATTGCCTCAGGACTAGGGATCTATGTATTGACAATTACTGGCTTCAAAGCACTGTGTTTTATAAGGTGTGTTATGTGCCTAGTACACATGTAAAAAGAGTGGGATTTTATTTATCCAATTTTTCTTGCCATTTAAAGCCAGTGATGACCATTTCAGATGCCCCTACTCAGGACCATCTACTTCAGGTAGAACCTAGCCACTTGATCAGCACTTCCTGAATAAAAATGATGAAGGTTATCTCCAGTATGAGATTTGGAAGAATCCCTAG